GATCTTTGTTAAAATCAGGAAACTGGTGCCGTTTTGACTTCCTATCTTCACAGTTTTTAACTGAACAGGGACGAGACATTTTGAAGCTAAAAAATTAAACATATATTACAAACAAATCTACATTAGCTTTTGATCTTAATAATCATATTAAATAAATACAAAATATTATATAATATACCAAGAAAATTAGGAGAAATATTAAAATATATTTAATGTAATTAAACAGTACTAACATAGAAATTTGAAATAATTAATTGTAAGTGTTGGACATCATGTTCTTGAAATAAGCCCTTCACATAAAATTTTGGTTTTATCATTGACTTCACTCAACGGTTTTATCATAATACATAACCTACATAACAAATAAATACTTTAATACTTACATGACAAACCACACGATTCAAATAAATACACAACAAATATGTAATAATAAATTGTTTAAAACACGATACCAAAGATTACAAAACACAATATAACACAGATAAACACAAAACAATAATGAAAGTAAATTATGAAAGTAAACTTAAAAACATCTCTGCGGATTATAAAATAACGCTACGCCTGCGCAAAGTGTCCGAAATCAGTTTTACCAACATGAAGATTAAAAAAAATAAATAGTGCTCCCTCTGGGAGTTTTGCGCCAACTAATTTCGAATGTTCTATCCTTGTCCATTAGAGTGCCGCGACCGTGGGAAGACCATAGAAAAAGAATATTCTTTTTCTTTATATGAAGACAATTTAAAACAAAGTAGGTAAATATATTTTGTTATAGGCGTATTACATGCTTTATTATCTATGCATATCTACATATTATATTATATATTATTACATATATTATACACGTAGGTATATAATATATTATATTATTTATTTTAGGTTAAACTATTTTTGTCAATCGATGCTTTCCAATTAACAGACCATGGAACATTTTCTATGATGAAAACAAGGTAGTTAAGTAATTATAATTTGTTATATGCACATTATGTATAGATCTTTATTTATTTTAGGTTAAAATATTTTTGTCAGAAGACAAATTTAAAATTTAACTTTTAGAAAAATACAGCTGACAGTATTATAAAAAATGAACTCATATACCTACAAAGGTATAATCTGACTTTATTTCTTTTAATATTATAATATATAATACGTTAATTTTAGATACTGTATAAACTTAAGACTGAAAATTACAAAAACTTCACTTTATGCTGGACTTATTTCATGGTATACCTTTTTGATATTTAAAAAAAATATATATTTATGATGCGTTAATTTTAGATGGACATATCACTAAAAAGTGGAAGACTAATCATGCAGGTAAATTAACCTATGACTAAAAACTTGAAGACTGATCGTGCAATGGTACCAAATACGTAACTTAAAATAGTAAGTAGTAAAAGGATGCAGTGATGAATATCCCTAAAAAAATTAAATACCATTGTGCAGTGCCAAATTGTGGCAACAAATTTTATTTAGATAATGCTCCAAATTTTAAAAATAAACATTTTTTTCTTGTACCTGGAGATTCTGAAAGACGAGTAAATGGTTTTGTTAGAAAAATTAAATACTTGTGTATTATTTTATTTGTTTTGAAATATAATAAATGTGCTGAAATGTAATATGTATAGTTTTAGTTAATGCACAATTGTACTGTTTTTCAGCTATTTCAGTTAGCTCCAAAAGTTGAGAAATAAAATTTAAAGTGTGAAAAATAATTAGAATAGCCGTTTAAACGTGTTAACCTGCTAACTCCACTTATAGGTTGTAATGCTTTTTTATACTGTATTTAATATATTAAAACGCATTATAAAGGATAAGTTGAGTGAGCGGATTAACACGTCTACATTAATTTATTAATAAATTAATGTAAACGTGTTAATCCGCTAACTCAATTTATCTTTTATAATGCGTTTTTTATATTAAATACAATATAAAAAACGCATTACAACCTATAAGTGGAGTTAGCGGGTTAACACGTTTCAATATATTATATTTAAATTTGCCGCCTTTCCCTGTGAAAGTTTTCCATTCCCTGAGTTGGATGTCGCCACTAACGCTTGGTCAACTGTTTACATGGTTTCAAAGTCTCTCTTTTTCTTTCTTACTCTATGGTGGCCACTACCTGGGTAGTTATTGCCAACATTGCAACACTTTCCTGTGCAGTAGTAATAGACTTTCTTTAAATTAATTAAGGTAGATTATCTACTGTAGATATGGATATATTTTCTGTATACATATATTGTACTCTAGACAAAACCTCAAAACCAAAACACTGATCTGTCAAGTTCAAACAATACAATTAAGGTCAAATCACACTATATACTATGCAATACAAGTGTTAATTTTATTTTAATTTTTGATTTGATTGTGGGGCAAAATATTATGCGGAACTTATTGAGTATGGTTGATTCTGTACTCGCATTTTTTCTACTCACGCATCAAACGAATGTCTCGTTCGTAAAATTTACACGTTGCACGATATAAAGTTCATTTTTTTATCTGGACTACGGCATCGTTGCAAATTTAGGGTTTTGGTTGGTAAATACAGTTGTCAAGTTGGTCGCATTGATTAAAACAAACTAAGCTAGTTATAAATCTAATTTTGGTTATTTATATCATCAATTTGAGTTGTCGAAATTCGTAGTTAAAAATGCAATTAATTTGTCCTTGGTGGTGCTTGGATGAGTAAAATCATATAAAAAAAAGTAGTTAAATATAGGTTGCTTTACGGCCCAGAAGAGAAAGTATTCCTAGCAAATAATAATCTTCGCTTTGAAAAGAATTTAGGTATATAAAAGAAATTAAATTATTTTATGAACGTAAATGTTATCCAATGGTGAATAATGTGTGATATTTATAAAACCAAATTCGTTACTTTTTTACTCCAAAAATGTCCATAAGGCCCTTTTTCGTCCATTGTGGTATTTGGCATAATTTCATCAAAATGAAGTTTTGCCCTCAAAAGGGCTTTTCGAATTCGTTGCTATTATTTTTGGCATAATTATCTTTTTATTTATAATTGACAAGTAAATTATCAATAATAAATATTATTGTCAATTTGACAGTCTCAAAGTATTTAATTAAATTCTTTAGCAGAAGTACCATTTTTAAATACTAAAAATACTAAGTCAAACTGGCATAAGCCACCAACCTAACAAAAAAGGCCGTTGCTAGTCGTCCGTATAATCGGACGATTAATATATATTATTCATCCGATGATCGGACGATTAATATATTTTATTCATCCGATGATCGGACGATTAGACAAGTCGAAAGGCCGCTGCTAGTCGTCCGTATAATCGGACGAATAAAATATATTAATCGTCCGATTATCGGATGAATAAAATATATTAATCGTCCGGTAATAACATAAATAAATAATAAAAAGATTATCGGACTCAAACTCAACAACACAACCCAACCGACCCCGCCCCATTGGCCCCCCCCCCGCCCCATTGAACAAAAAACCCAACTAAAATGGGCAAATTTATGTTACGATAAAAATAAAACACTTTTTAACAAAGCAACAACAAATTTATGAAATAAAAAAAGTTCGACAACTTCTAGTAGATTTTATGTTACGATAAAACTAAAACAAACCAACCAACCCAACCCAACCGAACACTGTTTAACAAAGAAACAACAAATTTATGAAATAAAAAAATAAAAAAAATTCGACAGCTTCTTAGTATCGAACCCGGGACCTCTCGCATGACAAGCGAACGCCCTACCATATAAGCTATCTAGCTTGTTGTCAAATATTAAACGGTCGGTGAACAAAAGCGGATTATAATTATGACGTAACTAACGTTATAGTAAATTTAAAAGTAAACTACGTACACGTCATCAATCAGCTGATCGGGCACGGTTGTCAATGTGATGCTAAAATCCTTGCATCAAGGGAAAGTGGTAGTGCAACTACAGGGCGATAGATGGCGTTTACATGAATAATACCAAAATGTCAAAAGTCTGAGTTTTTATAACCTATATGATGCACCTCCAATAGTATGTTTTTAGCCATTTTTAAAGACATTTTCTGATATAAAACCCAAAAATTTTGCCATCTAAAGTCAGTCTCTGGTATATATATTATTATTTCATGTATCCAACATATATTTTGTTAAATATTCTAATATATGATTAATAATAATCCTATTTACCTCTCTAACAGCTGTTAAAGGTAACAAAGGTCCATTATTATCCCGTTCTGCCTCAAAATAGCGTATTAAGGATGACACCAACTCTTGACTCCGACTATTTAAATGCTTCGGCATTTTAAATATAGGAAACACAAAAAAACGATATATAACAAACACAAAAACGGCAATGAAAACTTAAACGATATAAAATAACACAAACAACAAACAAAATAAACGAAATAATACACGAATTAAACGAAATATTCAAAAACACAACTGACAGCTTCGAAATTCTAAAACGTCAAATTCTTTTTTATGTGTCATTTAAATATGAAAAATTTGAATGTAAACATGACAACATCACAATTGTTGCCAACTTAATTTGGTTAAAATGCATTCAAATATTCAATTACAGACTTCGATTTAGTCATTTAGTGTTGGTACCAATGCGTAAAATTTTTGTTTTATTGATGACGTGTACGTAGATTACTTTTAAATTTACTATATGTTATTACCGGACGAATAATATATTTTATTCATCCGATGATCGGACGAATAATATATTTTATTCATCCGATGATCGGACGATTAATATATATTATTCATCCGATGATCGGACGAATAATATATTTTATTCATCCGATGATCGGACGATTAGACAAGTCGAACAAAAAACACGAGTTCAGATTTAAAAAAATGAACTGTACTATTGAAGCATCCCTCGTATTTGGGTTTCATTGACCCTCACGTTGGCAACCGCGCAAAAAACTAACCATCAAAAATTCTGTCAAAAATTTTGTTTCCTTTCTTGTGTTAACCAAATGGTAATATTTTGGGATTGTTCTTAGTTAAAACTTAGGTAAAATGGCAGACCCGGAGTTGGACGAAATCAGAAAACAGAGATTGGCTCAAATGCAATCTCAGTACAAGGTATTTTGGTATATTTTTGTTGTAAACATTTTTAACAAATTCTATTTTTAGGGTGATGGAAATCAAAATGCTCAGGAACAAAAAGAAGAACAAGCCAGGGCACAAGAAGATGCCAAAAACTCCATTTTAATACAAATTATGGATCAAGCAGCAAGAGCTAGATGTAAGCATAATGTGTAAAATTAAACATAACCTTACTTAACTGTTCTTTAGTGAATACCCTTATGTTAACAAAGCCAGAAAAGGGAAAAATGGTTGAAAACATGTTGGTAAGAATGGCACAGTCTGGGCAGATCTGTACAAAAATAGGTGAAACCGAATTAATTGGATTATTGGAAAACGTTAACTCTCAACTGTCCCAAAACAAGCCTTCAGTTAAGTTTGACAGAAGAAGGGCTGCATTAGATTCAGATGATGAGTTGGATTTTTAACTTTTTTTATTAAATCAATTTTACAATACACATCAACATGAATTACAGAATAAAAACATTATAGTATTAGGATAATTAACACATAAATTAAAATTACATATAATAAACTTACATAAAAGCTTTTCAGTTTGACTAGAGTTTGATTTAATTTGGGTTTAATCTTTCTTTTCATGGATATCTGAAAAAGAAAATGGGGCCATTAGTATATTTTTTACATATGTGCACAGTGAAATTATTGTTTATTTTTAAGGTAGTATCTTAAGTACAATATAAATTGTTAATTTGTTATAATGGCAAAATTAAGGTTTAAAACTCAAGTTCCTTTCGTTGGCAGCACAAAATTTGAAATGACCATTTTAAAAAGTGCTAAATAAATAGTTTTTTTGAGATTTTCATAAAAAATTAATCAATAAACTTTAAAGACTATTTTCTTGGAAACTGCTGTAAAAAATCTGAAATTATTTGTGAATGTGTCTAGAATCATATATTAATTTTGAAGACATTCTAAGGTAACTTTTCAAATGGAGATACTACCTAAAATATGTCCAGAAAAGAGATTTTACGTTAAAAAATACATTAATTTTAATATAAAATGGCATAAACCAGCCCGCAATAGCGTTTTAAAGCGTCGGAAAAGTTAGGAAAAACCTGTTTTTTTCCAGGTCTTGAAAAAATTGGCTTATTTGCATATTAAGTATTTTTTGTTATTTATGAATAAATGCTTTATTTTTACTTACCAGGCAATACTAAGTAAAAATAAAGCATTTATTCTTAAATAACATAAAAAAGGTTTCTAACACGTGCAAATACATTACATTTATATTTTAATTAACCTTGGCTGAAGGACCTAGGTCAATGGCCTTTTGATTGTTGTTATTTTTATAATTATGATAATCAATAAATAACTATTATTATTATTATTATTAACATAAAAAATGCTTAATATTTAAATAATTCAATTTTTCCAACTGCCAGTTCATATTTTTTTTTAATTCAGCACCTTGCTAAAAAAAAAATAAAAGGAAATTTGCATAAAAATTGACTTTGCAAATTGGAAAAAATTTCCAGTTCGTCCTATGGATAATTCGAAAAAAAAAGCAAAAGTGAAAACTTCAGTTTTTCCGTTTTTTTCGCCGGCTCAATTTTTTCGGAAATTACTGTTAACTATTTTGGAGCTTTTATATGAAAAATGTATGCCTATATATAAAGAAATTGAAATGTTAACAACCTATTTAGAATAGTTATGACTCATAACTATTATACTTCTCATAACTTATGAGAAGTATAATATAAGGTAAAACAATTTAATTTTAATAAAAATAAGAAGCATCCAAAACAATATTGTGAAAAATATTCCAAATAAAGAAAACTACTAGTTTATCACAGGGATTATAAACTTATTAATTTTTAAACAATTGTTAAAAAACATAATTTTGCAGATCAGTGTAATGAATGTAAATACCTTCTTCGTCATCTTCAGCATCTAAAATGTCTGCACAACATATAGAATACATTATCAGTGATAAAAATCCTAATGGTAATCCAAATAAAACAGTGGTTAAAACTGGATTTCCTTTCCACATTTCTCCCAATGAGGTGCTTGCTTCAAAGTACCCTCTATACAGTCTTACAAAGAGTCCATTTCCACCATACGCCTAAAATTAGTTATGAATAAGTATTCATTATTTTTGTTTCAAATCCTGTTTTATTAGGCAGAACTTTTTGTATACTACCCACTGGCATTGATTGATTACAAATCCTCTCCAAAAACATATCAATGGCATCAACAGTCAATTCAGTTGGATCATCCTCAGGAATATGATGATGATTGGTGGTAGAATTTAACACCAACAAATGTGGCAAGGGCAAAACTTGCATGGCAATACTATTTGCCAACTCAGGGGTACCAATCCATCCAAACTGGAAAGTTCTGTGGTATTTATCCCTTTTCTTCCTTATAATTCCCTCAACCATATCCCTGAATTCCAACATTTCACTTGGGATTTGCTGTAAAACGTTTTCTTCCACTATTACAAGCACCAAATATTTTCTGGTTTGCATTAGCTCATTTATATTTCCTCTGGTTACTTTTGGGAATGTTTCAAACCTTTCCTCGTTTATCCATTTATACATTGAACCATTCAAATGTTCTGCTTCTAATACAGAATTGCCATGTTCCACTGAAAAATTAATAAGTATGTATATTATTTTGTACTAATGTATAAATAAACATATTAAATAAATGATACTTACAGGGGTTAAAAAAATGCACATTTTCTTTATGTACAAAAACAGCAGGTAAATCCTGTATATCAACATGTGCTTTAGCAATTTCCTTATTTGTAGCATAAAAAAATGCATGCTGTTGCATTTTTGATGATACCTCATAGAATGCATCCCAAAGTGGGCCTTCTTGATCACCCACATACATAAAGAATAACTGATTCATGTTTTTAAGACCTGAAAGACTTTCAGTCCTTGTCACTTCTTGAACTGGAGGTCCTGCCATTCTTATTGCAAAATTTATTATGTCATCTTTGGTTTTGTCCCCATGATATGATACTTCATCGTCAGGTTTTATGCTAGATACACAAAAAAAATATGTTTAATCTTTTGTAAACTAAGCAACAACAAAATGTACCCCCTTACAATTTTATTGTGGGATATCCTGCAATGTTGAATTCTGTGGCCATAGATGGGAACCTTGTACAATCAATTTTCCCAACTCTGATATTAGTTTTGGAGAGCGTCTGAGCAACATTTAACCAAATAGGTTCCAATCTTTTGCAGTGGCCACACCACGGTGCATAAAACGTAACTAACCAATACCCTCCATCTTTTCGTATTTCCGAAAATCTGTCGCTTAAATCCAATACCCGTGAAGCATTTATAGTCGCGAATAATGCTAATAAGTTATGTTATTAATTAATTAAAACATGATAAAATATTTGCGGTTACTTACCAGAAATTATAAATAAAAGTTTGTAATTTACCATTGTGCTTTTGTATTTAAATTGTATTATATATTATAAGCGTAGTTGTGGCATAATTGAATTAATTTTTATTGATTTTTGTGTAAATATTTTTACAATAAAAAACGTAAACTTGTTTATTGAGCGTTTGTCAACCGGTGACAGCTGTCAAAGTTTTTCATTGGAGAAAACTGTAGCCTTGCGTTTTATAAAATGTATAGCGAACGAATTACAGTGTTGTCGAATCTACTTTATTTCCCTAAATTATGGGAATATTAAAAGAACGCGAAAATTACTATTGAATACAAGTTTATTGTTTAAAATCATTATTTACATATATTATTTACCTATATGTATAAAATTAACAATGTAATACATTAAATGTATATTTCTCTTAATGTAACATCTCATCAATGCTTTGTAATATTTTATGAAAATCAAATTTCTCCTCACATGTTTCGTTTTTTAAATTTCTTGGTTTAATTTTAGGCTTCTTTATTTCATTTATATTCACCAATTTATTTAATTGATCTGCTTCAGAGTTTTTTAACTCATAAATAAGTATTGGTGAATTTAAAATCTGACTAGAGAAAGAAATTAAATTTTTCAAAGGATGGAACTGAACACAATGAATGGGCCTTGTTGAATTTTCCTCAAAAGGTCTGTAGGTTTTAAGGCAATTTCCAGATTTACTGTCCCAAATTGAAACGAGACCATTTTCGCTTCCCGACATTACAAAATCACCGCAGGATGATATGGAAGCAAAAATTTGAACCCTAAAAAATATTTTAAAAAATACCTACATAAAATCCATATTGAAAACTGATATTATTAGAATATTCCACAACGCAAAATCAGGTTGATAATCAACCATTGATTATAATCACAAACAATTAGGAAAAAATTTGCCTGTATACAGGGTGTTATGTAATTAATGTTATATATTAAAATGGGTTGTTCCTTAGGGTCCATAAAGAAGCACCTGAAACTTTTTTTTTCTAAATTCCAAAGTCTAAAAATAATTTATAATAACCTTTATCCTACCAAAAAGTACGCCACTGATCGACTAGGAACTTTAGGTTAATCTGGTGGATTTATTATGTTATGGTTGGTATCAACAATTTCCAAAATCTCTCAAAAAAGTTGACAAACATTGTTTAAATTTAGCTTAATTACAAAAATGACAAAATTAACAATGCAATTGTCAATTTGGCGTTTTTATTAATTGTTGGTTATTTCATTTTTGTACTGAAGGTAAATTCAAACAAAATCTGCCAACTTTTATGACAGAATCTAGTGCATTTCTTTTAAATTTTAGGTTATGTTTTCAAATTGTAAATATCTTAACTAAGGAAAGTGCTTTTGGATTTATTTACACAAATTAAATGTTTAAAGTTTAACCTGTGAACTGGTCCCAATTTCATTTGAGTAAACAGAGAAAAAAACTGATGAAAAAATTAATTTTGTGGTTATGGATTTCAAATTTCAAAGGTACAAAATTTTCTAATCATTGCTTAAGCTAATAGCTGGAACAGTAAATAAATACAGAAGGGTATTAGAGCTTTAAGGGCATAAAACTTTTGTATTTATTGAGTTTTTATTTATTTTTTGCAAGAAAAATTTTTAGTAACAATTTTTTACATCTGGCAACGCATAGCTACTTTGTTGGTTGGTATCTATGTACTCACAAAATACAGGTGTGCAGAGATAAACAAGTGTGTAACCAGTGGCGTATCACAAAAAATATATATATAATGCATATTTTTTCTTTATCTTTGGAAAAATGTTTTTTTAAATATTTTTCCTTTATATTATGTCAAAAGGTATTCAGTATTTTAATATATAACATTAATTACATAACACCCTGTATAATAAAGATAAATTTACCTTTCATTTAAACAGCCCTGAAGCCAATGCAGAACCACTTGACTTTTTAAGCAAACTATTCTTAAAGTACTATCTCTAGAATTGACTAAAATTTTAGTTTCTCTTGGAAAAAGTAATATTTGATTTATAATGACCCCTTGAAGATCCAGAACTTTTAAATACCTTTAAAAAAAAATTTACATTTTTTTTCTAAAATTAACAACAATATTTACCTACATTTTAAACTCCCAATCATCTTTTCTTTCCCATATCAAAATTAGTCCTGATGAATCTGAAGAGTACAAATTTAAGTATTCTTTGTTATAACAAAGAGAAGTTACAAAATTCTGATGTTTTATTAATTCTTGACTTAAATTGTACTTCCTTATTTTTTCATCAAAACTCCATATTCTAATGCAACCATCAAAGCAACCTGTGACTATATTTCTATTGCTTACATCAATTGCATAGACAAAACTTGGATGAGGCAAAATCTAAAAGTGTTGCAATACACAATTGAGTGTTTTGCAAACATGGACACAAACTTACCTGTAAAAACGTATTATTGTTAAAATCCCAAACAGCAACAGTGTTATCTGCAGAACATGTAACAATAAATGAATCCTTGTTTGACCATTTAACAGAATAAATTAATCCTTGATGGCATGCATATTTCTTAACTTCCTCATGTGTATCCACCTAAAATTTAACACATTAATAAATTAATTTTTCCAAAAATTTATATTAAAATTTTTACAGAATAAATAATAATAGTAAACATTTCATTTAACTTAACAGCACAAGCCAAATATAAGCCATTATTGCTAAATTTGTGTATGAAACAACCTTCGCTAAAAGCTTCCAATTTAGCTACACATTCATTGGGTATTTGAAACCCTTTACTTAATTTAAGCATAGGTTTTAAGAAGGCAGACATAATTTTTTCGCCTCCTGCTACATTATTTTCGTTTTCATAATTTTTCTTATCATTATTTAACATTTTTTCTGATGTTATTTCTTCTTGCAATGGAGTTTTTGATCTTATTGCTTTTATAATCCTGTCTGGTGCTATTAGTTGCTTAATTGTTATATAAATTGTTGAAGGGTATTTTTTCAGTTTCTTTATATTCCATAGTTTCCATAAATAACAGCCTTCTGTGGATTCCTTAATGTTATTTATGTGATACAGTTGTAATCTTAATTGTTTGTTTAAGTTGTTGGCATTATTTTTTCCAATTGGCCTTAAAAAGGCAAAGCAAATGCGGTGCCAGCCTTTAAAAGATGCTAAAAATGACAATGTAAGTAGGTATAAGGAAAAATAATTATAGCAAATAAAAAGTAAACCTTTTCGGAAAATGGGATTTTGTTTATCAGAAATTTCCAGAAAATCCAATATTTCAAAAAAATAAATAACATCCGAATTAGCCAAGTATTCAAAATCTTCATTAATGGTAATTATTTCTTCCCAGGATGGATATAAAGTTCTAAAAGTAAATTTAACAAACTATTTTTATTAAAAAAAAAATTTATTTAGCTTTCTTACCTTTTTTCTTGAAGATCATAGGCATGAGTCAAAATAGGTTGAATGTAATCTGTCTCCTGATTTTCATAATAAAATATGACTGATCTACTCTTGTTACTTTTGGAGTAATATTTACCAGTCTTAATATTAACAATATGAATTTTTACCACTGGGTGAATTAAAAACGATTTTATAAGCAATTTGTCAGTTTTATGAACAACTATTTCAGTGATATACTTGTAGTCTACAGATGTAGTTTTTAAAATTTCTTTATCCACAACTGCAGTTATTTGAGTTTTTTCTAAATTATCCATAATTTCTGATGGCTCTTTAACTTCATCAGATATGGAATTGTCGGTGTGATTTGGGCTTACTTTTGATATTTTACCAACATTTATGGGACTCTTATTTGATACAATCGAAATTTTTGAAGGACTTTCATGTAGAATAACATCACCAATTTCTTTTTCCACTTGTCGAGTTTCTTTAACATAAGTTTGATTACTGGGTAAATCAGGACTTTCACTTTTATGTTGAACAGTTTTTAAAACTTTTGGTGAACTTACATTAAAAGTGCCTTGACTTGAAACCGAATTTTCCCTGATGGTTTTCTTTTTTCTTGGTTTTGGCACTGGGGGTTTTACAAAATTAAAATCATTATTTGGCTCGTTTAAAAACTTATTCAATATAAAATCATCTTTAACAATTTCTCTGCGATCGTCCAGCAAATTTTCGCTGCTTGCCGTAGTCGAGTATTGTTCATACATTTCCACCTCGTCAGATTTAATCTTTTTTTTCTCTTTTTTTAATGCATTCTTTAATAAAGCGTTAAACTTATCCTTAGTTTCACTCCGCAAACTTTGGGGCACACTCAAACTGTAGGAATCCGAGTTGGAATCCATCTTTTACACTTTTTTATGCTTTTAAGGTTTGTCACATTCAAATTCGCTGCTGTCAGCCGCGAAGAAGTAAACATACCATTGCTAGGCAACGATGTTAGTGTGAAACTTAAAGTCCCAAGGATTTTTGGCATCGTTGCCGATTTTAGTGCAATATTTTATAGTTCTATTCGAAGTTGTGACACAAGTGAAAGGAAAGTGTGCACTGATTTATTTATTTATATAAAAAAGTTGATTTAAAACCTCAATTCTTTTTGGAAAAAAAAATTGTGTATAATATACAAAAGCAAGAGTTGCCATAGACAGTTTTAAACAACGAGGATCACAGATTATAATCCTTTTATAAAAGGATATATCCTCGCTGCTGAGCAGCGGCTGCTCCAGTGTAGTTAGTGGACGTTTGCGAACAGACCTTATATTTTGTGATGACTTGACAACATCGACGGTAGTCTATTTTGCTGTTTAGCCGTCTGTTATCTCTGGCCGTCTGTCAAAGTTGGATTAATAACATTTCTTTGTTCTATATTGCAAAAATGGGCGATAGTAACGATGGAGAGAAGACTCCTCTTCTTGGAAGTAACGCTGGATCGGTTTCCGCTAATTTAGGCGAAGTAGCAGGTAAATATAACCCGTATTTTTAATGTTGATATTACAATGTAGATACCCACCTAATTTACTTTGAATGCTATTGTTTACGTTGATTATATTAAATAATATTACATGAATATACCAAGAATTTAGATTAATAATAACAATTAATGAAATAGGACAAAACTTTGGCAGCAATTTTAATCTTTTTCCTATTGAAATGAGTATCACTGGATGTGTCAAACATACAGGGGGTTAGGGATATAAGTATCATACACAGATCATAACACATAAACTAATATTTGTAATTTTTTTGTGATAGCTACCCAATTTTTTTCTCTTGCCTAAACCAAATAAAATTTAAAAAGTGCTTAAACAAAGCAAGATTTAATGAAAAAATGTTTTGCTTCTTTGATAAAATTGTACAACCTGTTACAGTACTTATTAATGCTATACATTAAAATACTTTTTATATTTGAAATATTTAATATTTTGAATAATATTGTTTTATTAGAACAACCATGTCCACACAAAGATGTGCTGCCTTTTAATTTATTGTTTTAATTAACCAAACATTAATATTATAAATAGGACAGCAAACAACAGTGTCTCCAATTGGTCCTGATGAATTGCCACCGCCGTTTTTTCAGCCCAGTGAAGGGGGTGGTGTCCCGATGGTCACTTGCAGGGTGTGTCAAGCCATGATTGACATATCTGGAAAACGAGATCAACATGTTGTTAAATGTGCCCAATGTAATGAAGCCACAGTGAGTACCAGTCATTTTTTTATGTTTTTTGTTGTAAGGCCAATTTTTATTCGACTTGTCTAATCGTCCGAACATACGGACGACTAATATATATTATTCGTCCGAACATACGGACGACTAATATATATTATTCGTCCGGTAATAACATAACGTTAGTTACGTCATAATTATAATCCGCTTTTGTTCACCGACCGTTTAATATTTGACAACAAGCTAGATAGCTTATATGGTAGGGCGTTCGCTTGTCATGCGAGAGGTCCCGGGTTCGATACTAAGAAGCTGTCGAATTTTTTTTATTTTTTTATTTCATAAATTTGTTGTTTCTTTGTTAAATAGTGTTCGGTTGGGTTGGGTTGGTTGGTTTGTTTTAGTTTTATCGTAACATAAAATCTACTAGAAGTTGTCGAACTTTTTTTATTTCATAAATTTGTTGTTGCTTTGTTAAAAAGTGTTTTATTTTTATCGTAACATAAATTTGCCCATTTTAGTTGGGTTTTTTGTTCAATGGGGCGGGGGGGCCAATGGGGCGGGGTCGGTTGGGTTGTGTTGTTGAGTTTGAGTCCGATAATCTTTTTATTATTTATTTATGTTATTACCGGACGATTAATATATTTTATTCGGCCGATTATACGGACGACTAGCAACGGCCTTTCGACTTGTCTAATCGTCCGAACATACGGACGACTAATATATATTAGTCGTCCGTATGTTCGGACGAATAATATATATTAGTCGTCCGTATGTTCGGACGATTAGACAAGTCGAAAGGCCGTTGCTAGTCGTCCGAACATACGGACGACTAATATATATTATTCGTCCGAATATACGGACAACTAGCAACGGCCATTTTTATTAAAACAAGATTTATACACAGAAGTAAAAAAAAATACCAATTATTTTGTTGTAACACATACCAGTTGTACAATTTGAATTCATGTTTGTATGCCTCATTTAATATTGATAAGGGGTATAGCAAAGGCCAGCTAGTTAATCACAATCAAAATGTTTAATAATTGTTTCCTGTTTGGAATTTAAGAATTCTTAAGAATCAAATCAAATTTTGAGTATAAAAAATATTTTTCCATTAACAAACAATAATTTAAAAGGATTTTAATAATTTAGATATAAGGGATTTTATTATTAATTTTTATCAGTGTTAAATAAACAATTTAAATAAAAATTTTGCAAACAATGCATCCTATTGTTTGTTTATTTCAATATTATTGTTAAAACTTGTTTGTGATTTTAACTTATTAAGAAAGTTTTTTTGGCTAAAATAATAGTTATTTATGTATCAAGGCAGTAAAGTCGTATTTTCACGAATGTGAGTGATAAAAAATTACTAATGCTGAGGTGCATATTAAATTTGATCCCAAATCACATTTAATAATACCTACTAATAATTAATATTGAGATTAAATCAAATGTCATTTGATGATCAAATCAAATGTCATTTGAATGTAGTTTGTTGCGACGATTATTATCGATTTTTTAATCTAATTAATAAAATTAACTTATTATTTTTATTAAACAACATTTTATGAAAGGGTTTAATCGACCTCCGCGACGGTGCTTTTTTTAAATATTATTTAGTTGCTGCTGAGGAGCAGTAGACACATCTTAAAATGTATAATGGGTTGCATACATACAATACTAAATTCTACTTTACTGCCGATTGTTGATTACTTTACTGCCGATTTCGGAAAAAAATGATTTTTTACTATTTATTTTACGAAATACAGTACAATTTAAATTATTACAAAAAATTACATACAGTGTGACCCATTTGTTTGTGACTCATCCTTGTAAAATCTTTATTTATTGCGCGATTTGAACCGGATTTGTTTTAAAGTGTAAATCTTGATAAACTGTATTTTTGGAGCAAAAAACACCACATTTTTACAAAATACAAGGCCTACTATGTCAGTTTTTGAGAGTAATTTTTTATGAATTCGTATTAGCGATTAAAAAAAGCTATGCACGGCACTGGATTCACCACTGGATATACAAAATTGAAATTGTAGGAACGATTTTGTAAAAATGCACAATAATTACTGTCAAGTTTTACATGAATAAAACATAGAAATAAAATTAAACTATTAGTAAAATGGTATAAATATTTCTATGATTAGTTTTAACAAACAAAAAACGCAATAGAAACCTAAAACAACAATTAAACAAAAACTGGAGAATTACAAAAATTCTCTACATACATACCATATTACTATTAGTTTAATTTTATTTCAATGTTTTTTCATAGATAACTTTACAGAATAAATTTTTATAAATAGTAATTATTGGGCATGTTTAATTTGACAACAAAATAGTTCCCCGCTAAAATTTTTCAATATAATTTATTATAGGGTCGTTTTGAGGTGTGGTGAATCCAGTGCCGTGCACAGATTTTTTTTATAAATCACTAATTAGCATATTAATATGAATTCTTAAAAATTTACTCTTAAGAACTGACATGGTGGGCCTTGTATTTTGGAAAAATATGGCGTTTTTTGCTCCAAAAATACAGTTTATCAAGAAGGGCACTTTAAAAGAAATCCGGTTAAAATCGCACAATAAATAAAGATTTTACAGGGGTAAGTCGCAAACAAATGGGTATATGTTTGTACTGCATGAAAAGTAAAAGTTCCTAAAAAAGTATATTTTGTCGAAAATTAACATTGATTATCTTATTATTAAGTGTCGAAATAAATCCAAAGAAATTGTGAAAATATACTGATTTTTTTTGAAAAATTAAAAATTACACAATTTAATAAAAGGATAATGTTATTTAAATGCTGTATTTTTACATAGGCCGTTCATAACTTTTTTAAATTCATTTTTTTTTCGCACCTTGCAAAAAAAACGAAAGTTTTTTTAAAGTTTTGTTCCAATATTAAAACACTACAAAAATTGACTTTTGCATATTTTTGTATTATTAGTACGGATAAAACCAGAATAAAAATTAATGCAACAATCAATTTTTCTGAATTCGTAAAATGCAAAAAAATTCCAATTCGTATTAAGGATTACAGGAAAAAAATGCAATATCTGGTCAATTCTTTTGAAAATTTCACTATACCTATATTATGTAGACTGGGCCAAAAAAATCAACTATTTTTTTTTTTTGAAAAGTATATCGAAAATATGGTTTGGGGCGACAAAAAAAATTATTGTGAAAGTTTGAGTCTATAATATTATTATTAAGAGGTCTATCATCGCAATTTTAATTTTTTTTCCCTCATCAAGTTTTTGTCTCAGAACTCCCAAACCATTGAGTTTAACAAAATTTACTTGAAAATATTTTTTTAAGAAAATTAAATGCTCTACAAAAAAGGTTAAATAAAATTTTTCGTCAGATGAACCGTTTCCTTAAAATCATGCCCTAAATATTGGTATAGTTTTACATTTACATACAAAACCGATAAATATTCTTATGTGAAATCAAATGCTTTACAAAAAAAGCCTCTTAACATTTTTGGATAAATTAACTCAATCAAAAGTTATTCAAGGTTAAAGTTGAAGTCAAAAGGAAATTCTTGCCAAATTTAACCTTGAATAACTTTTGATGGAGTGAATTTAGCCAAAAATGTTAAGAGGCTTTTTTTGTAAAGCATTTGATTTCACATAAGAATATTTATCGTTTTTTTATGGGTACTGATTTTTACGTGAATTTCAAAATTCCAAAGTTAAAAGATCAAAATGTAAAACTATACCAATGTTTAGGGCATGATTTTAAGGAAACGGTTCATCTGACGAAAAATTTTATTTAACCTTTTTTGTAGAGCATTTAATTTTCTTAAAAAAATATTTTCAAGTAAATTTTGTTAAACTCAATGGGAGTTCTGAGACAAAAACTTGATAAGGGAAAAAAAAATTAAAATTGCGATGATAGACCTCTTAATAATATTCTTATGGACTCAAACTTTCACAATAATTTTTTTTGTCGCCCCAAACCATATTTTCGATATACTTAAAAAAAATAGTTGATTTTTTTGGCCCAGTCTAACCTATATATCCGGGTTTTTTTCCGCCGGCTCAATTTTTCCGGAAACACTAGGGGGGGTATAAGTTGCTTCTGCAACTAGATCCACTTTTTACTTTTTTGTTAAAATTCTCTATTACTATTGCAAATTTTAGTAAAAATAATTCAAGTTTTTTGCTTGATTGGATTAATAAAAGAAAGGAAGTTTCCAATGGCATAAAACGTAAAGAAATAGGCATAAAGGTTAAAAAAACATAAATTGTGTAAGAACAATTGAAAAAAAAAACGTTAAAAAATATTTCAAAATAATAAATCGGATGTTTGTTTTTTTCACTTAACATCTCCAAGCTGATCTAATTCTGAAATCTTCGTATTTAATTGAAATTATTTTTTAGCCAATTCGGAATGCCCCTCCCGGTAAAAAGTATGTAAGATGTCCCTGCAACTGTCTCCTGATATGCAAAAGCTCGTCACAAAGAATCGCCTGTCCCAGGCCCAATTGCAAAAGGATTATCAACCTGGCCCCAAGTCCTGTCACTCCCCCGGTGTCTACTTTACCCGGAATGTGCCGCGTGACTTGCGGACACTGTCACGATACGTTTTTGGTAAGTTAATTAGGATTTTTTTCAATTTTTATTCTAAAATATGTTTTTCAATAAGTATACAATCCAAATAAAATTTATCTGCATTGTTTTTTATTGATAACATTTTAATTACACCTAAAATTGTTAATTAACATCAGTGTTTGCATGCGATAAATTTCAAAATTTACAAAACTTCAAAATTACCAAATTTATAATATTATTATAATAAAATACCCAAAACGAATAAATATTTTATAATAAATCAATATCAGCATGTATAAAATCCAAACAATAATATGTTTAATCTATTACACAAAATTGATTATCTAATAAATTGTCATTTTACTGTTGGAGAAATTATGTGGGTCAACATAGTCAGAGATTAAATAAATCCATTTAATAACAAAATTAAAATTTGTCAATATAATATTTTGCAATAAACGGCAAGTTTTTAATATTTTATAATTTTTATGCATCCTTTTGCTAAATTCTGTTGTTTTAAAATGTCATTTAATTTGTTTGAAGTTTTAAAACATATTATTTTTACCCAGATAATGATTAAAACTATTTTTTAACACAAACTCTATTTTTAATTAACCAAGTATGTGTTTTTTTAAGATTAGATATATTTTTAAAATAATTTTCATTGATTCTTAAAAATCCGTTTTATCTTTAAATTTTAAAAACGTATATAAGAAATAAAAGGGGTGTAATATTTTGAATCATCTTAATAAATATAATATACTGTGTTCATCAAACCAAAAAATCCATCAAAACAATTTTAACAATTTACAATTAAAACATTTGTCTTTTTTTAATTGTTGTGGATTGTTAATTGTATATTATGTATCAAGTTTGATAAACGCCTGTGTTCATCAAACCAAAAAATCCATCAAAACAATTTTAACAATTTACAATTAAAACATTTGTCTTTTTTTAATTGTTGTGGATTGTTAATAGTATATTATGTATCAAGTTTGATAAACGCCATTTTATGCACGAATTTAATTTAGGCAAGAGCGAGCTTGCGAGTGAGTGCTTAAATTAATAAGTGTATAGAAAAGTTTATAAACGAGGTGCATACTATACTTTTTCTACGACAAATACTTATTATTATCTTAAAATGATTTAAATCAAAAATTTGTATAGAGTGCCATCTATGAAACAATAGGGGAATCTGTGTGTCACCGTCAAATGTCAAATTTTTATATTTTATAAACACAAATAATAAAGGTTATAAATCGAAATGTATTTCTTGAAAATTAACAGTTTTTCACAGTGAAAGTAAAGAAAATGTTTTATGAGCACTTTACAGTGGAGCCCGTTCCCAAATTTAAGTTATAGTTTACTGCCGGCGAAATTAAAAGGTCAGTACAATGTTCATATAAACTTTTCAAATATTGGCGTTGAGAAACTATTTTATACTTTTGTATTTTTGTATTGAGATAATAAAATAATTTTCACATTTAGTATTATTTTACGAGAAAGGCACTTTATTTTAACGATTGTATGACATTCGACAACTGTCAACTAACTTAAAACTAACTTCAGCCTGTGACTAAAAACCTGTTGCTAACTTCAGCCCGTGACTAAAGCGCCATAAAGCCACGACTTGTCAATGTGTCTTTAAAATGTCACTTAGTGTCAATGGGCGTTTTAAAGGTGGGACTAGAAAAAATTGTTTTGATGGGCTTTTTGTTTTAATGAATATAGATATTTGAGCAATTTAATTAGTTTGGCTATAAATTTAAATATGTAGGTACCTTTGACTATTATTATTGTAGGTGTTTGTTGAAATTTGCAACTTTGGTGGTTTCTATCGAAAGTAATTGTCTAATCAGCACTGCATTATCTGACGTAATATAGTGTGCGGTGGACAATGACGTTCTCCGATTGGTTATTAACTTCCAATAGAATAGTATATTCTGTAACAAGTTTGTAATTCCAATTCCAAACGTGTTTCAGACTATACTTTTTCTACGTTTCCAAAAAATACCATAGAAAAATAATTTTATTGGAAGAAAGTGAGGTTGGATTGGTCTAAAATTAGTTAGATATTAAAAACAGAGATGTCGCCACGAGTGTTTATTTTGTCATCAGATGATAGAATATTTCATTCTGTAACACTTATGTATATATATATATATATATATGTCATTCCATAGATACAAGTGATATTAGAAGGGTCAAATTCCGTATTAGGAGTAGAAAAACTACATTCTATATAAATTGTCAGAATTGTCAATGGTTTCTTTTGGAAGTAATTGACCAATTAAAACACCGTCGCAATCTAGTGTGCGGTCGACAATGGCGTTCTCTGATTGGTTAATAAATCCCGATAGAAACGACATTCTACAGAAAGGTCAGAACTGTCAAAAGTATTTCGTTATTTAAAATGTTATTAAACTTTTAAAGCGTTAAATTTTGGATACATACTTAACGGATATTGTGACTAAAATGTGATATTCGATAAAGAAAGATGTATTTTCAGTTCAACACGTTAAAGAACGCGTTGGCCAGATGCCCGCACTGTCGAAAAGTGTCGTCAGTCGGTCCCGACTACGCCAGAGGGCGGGGAACAATTTTTTCCATTCTGGCTCTAGTCTTCCTGCTAGTCGGAATCAGCGTAACGGCCGCCACCTATCGGTACGCCAAGACGCACAGCGGGGTTTACGTGGCGTATGTAGGAGCCTTTATATTATCAATAATCATGTTCGTGCGTAGTTTGTATTTTTATTTCATGAAAGTGAGCATCATTGAAGGGCCAATGTAATCAAATCAAATATTTTTAACGTAAGAGATATACATATTTAAGGATTATGCAATAAAAGTTTTTGGGGAATGTGCATGGCTGCTTACTCAACAAAAAATGAATTATACTTTCGTTTGATTTATACAAAATAATAATTATAGACAATGGCACTAGATGTGTATATACATTATTGTTTTTCTAAATAAGCGAGTCATCAGTCCCCTGGCCTTTATATGTATATTTCTACCATGCATATAGAAGTTTTAGTGATAATACTGAAGATTTTATGTTATAGCTATAAGTAATTAAAATTAAAAAAGTTTATATAACCTTGATATATTAGAGGCTGCTTTTATTATTTAACATTAAATTTTCAAATTATAATTTTTTTTGTAATGTACCTATCTTGTTAATAATTTATAAAGTATTACTTTAATCATTACATTCCTAGGAATTATCATAATGACAAAACCTTTTGATTGTTAAATAAGTGTTTATGTTGTAATATAAAATTCAATTGAATCTATTGGTTTTCACGACTGTAAAAAGGCTAAAGTGATAATAAAGTATTTTTAAAAATGTGCTGTTTTATTTTTGTTAATCCTAAAATACCATTAAGGGTTTCTCTAATTGTCTTCTAATTCTAAAATAATACATATAATAAAAGAAATATTTCATTGAAACTTTTCAGAACTAAATTTTAAACAATTTATATTTAATCTTAAAAAAGTATTTTCGTGGTAGGCAGAATAAAACATGATGACTTTATTCAAAACAAATATTTTCTGTTAGTAGGCGAGTATAGCTTGTTACTGAACAAAGGATACATTTTTGGCATAATTAGGACCATAATATATACTGTCTTGTAAAATAAGTTGTGATCAAGAAAAAAACAATCCTTCGTCCAGTCACTAGTCAATTGTACCTAGAAGAAGTGTGCAAAATTTAAATAAGATCGGTGTTTTGAAAAAAAAAGATTAAAGTTTAAAGTAGTATTAAAACGAGCCTAATGGAAGGAGTTTTTAAAAGCTCTATCTCCTATAGTCTCTGTAGAGACTTTCTAGGCTTAAGTTTTTCTCCGTTTAACTAAAAACTTTGGGAACATATTCTTGATGTGTACTGAGTATGAGTATAATATAATAGTAGTACAACTGGCCCCATTGCCTTATTTCTACCGAGCCTCTTACAAGCCTCCGTTACGCTACGCCGATTTTTTTTCGCCACCAGCTTCTCAGATGATGGCCTTTTCTACTCTTGGTTAGCCTCTTTTGTTCTTCATATAGAATGCTTCCTATTGTCAAGTGGTTCGTCCGCCAGGTATGCTGTCATTTATCACTTCACGGTATTCTTGATGTGTTGTTTTGGATAAACAAAAAAGAAAAAAAGATTTTACTGAAATTTCGAAACTCAGGAATCTCTTAAAAAACAGACCATAAGATGAGTTATAGCAATTTTGTTAGGCCGGTGTCAGTGCCAGAATTTGAATTGCTATGAATCATAGAGAGTTAAATAAAAATTAAATTAAGAAATTAATAAAAAAAATATTTTACACACGATTTAAAAAACAAAATTCTTTAAACTTTTTAAACCAAATAGGTAATTGAAATATAGTTATTTAAAGTAAACTAATTATTTTTTAAACTTATTAATAAGGTACCTAATAACAAGGGCGTCGCCAGCCAATGGGCCAGATATGGGACAAATATCATCTTCGGACAAACATTCGGCTTCGGCTAAAATTGAGCTGAAAAATTAGTCGATGTCGATTTTTTAACAGTCAGCCTGTAAATCACAAATTTTCTTAGTAGCAAGTTCTCGAAGCCGAATGTTATTTAATAAAACCATACAGGTCTTTAACCCGTAATCGGTACGGTACGACTTTCAGATCATAAACGGTACTAAGGGGTCTGAGAGACACCTACCTTTTAAAATTATAATTTATATTATTTTTTTTATCTGAGGCTTTGGGGATACTAGGAACTATATATAAAGTTAGAATATCATCAAAAATAATACCTAAATAAAAGACAAATTTAAACAAATAGGTTTTAATCAAAACATGCCCCTATTGTAAATGACTAATAGAATCCAATAAAAAATAAGTATATGGTTTGAAATGTGTTTTGGCGCTATGAATCACCAATTCATTGCAGTTGAATTCCTATTGGTAATTTCCAATAAAGTCAGCGGCTTGGATTGGGAAATACCAATCCATGGCTATGCTTGTCTCTATTGGCTAAATCCAATAGAAATGCAGATGGAATGAATTGGTAATTCATAGCGCCAAACCCATTCCAACCAATTAAAACCAATTATTGTTTTAAAATTTGGATTAGAAAAGACCTACCAGTTTATTTTTCATTCAAAAATAATTTTAGATCCCAGAAGGATAACCAGGTAAAAACCAGAATTCATTTTTCACAGAAGATACAAAAAAATGATTTTTACTGAGTAATTTTATTTCTTTATTATATTTTTTGAGATATATGTATACATATAACTTACTATCACAAAAAAAGAAATAAAAAATAAATAAAATTACTCGGTTATAATCATTTTTTTGTCTTTCTTGCAAAGGATGTTTTTAGGCATGGTCGAAGTCGATATTGTTTATGTCAAATTCTTACGCCATCGTCCCTAAACCTTACACATATAAACATTTTTTTAATATATAAGCACACTACTAACACTAGGCACTTAACAAAGAAATCGACTAATAACAAAAACCGCTAATAAATGGGGTCCAAAGACTTGTTGTTTTTTCTTTATGATGGCGTCTCAACCTCGTTGATTTTGCGCAGCTACACGAGAGCCCTCTTGCGATATTTGTATTGTATTGGGAATAACCAATTAGCAGATTTTTCGAATCTTACACTGGGAATGCCCAGTTGAATTCAATTGGAAATTACCTATAGGTAGCTTTCAGTGGCGGCTGGTGGATTTTGCGTATACCGATATTTTGGTTATTAGACATGGGACCCACACCAAATTTATAAGAGTTTATAATGACATTAAATTGACAAGTTCTGCGCAAGCAGAATTTAAATAGAAGTTTGCGCAAAAAAGATAGTTTTTGCTGCAGCTCCCCTGCAGCCTGGCCCCCCGAATAAAGATAATACAAATTTTAGTGGTGCAATTTATAATATACCATACTTTATTGACAAATTTAAAAATTTATTTAAAAAATCCAAGTATTACAGATTTTATACCATTTTAAATTTGTATTACTTTTCCTAAAATAATAAAAATTAAAATAAAATTTGTATTATCTTTATTAGGGGGGACAGGCTGCAGGGGAGCTGCAGCAAAAACTTCTTTTTTTCGCAAACTTCCATTTAAATTCTGCTTGCGCAGAACTTGTTAATTTAGTGTCATTATAAACTCATATAAATTTGGTGTGGGTCCCATATCTAATAACTGAGATATGGCATATGCAAAATCCACCAGCCGCCACTGGTAGCTTTATCCAATCGAAACCAATAAAAACCATTAGAATCCTAATTGGACTTTTCCATCATAGAAAATACCAGTAAAAAACAATTTCTGTTTTATATCGCGCACAATTAAATCAAGTAAGTCCGATTCAGACCCATTGATACCAACCAATACTTCAATTGGTTTCTACAGGAATTAATCGGTCATTTACAACAGGGATAATTATCTTCAAATTAAAACAAAATGGACCGTCAACTTTTGATATAATACTCGGTTTAAAGTCGTTTAATTAAATGAATTTGAATATTTTTATACCCAAAATGATTCAAAAGCTAATTTAAAATCGATCTGTCAAAAAATGTTTAAATTTTTTTCTTGTTCTTCTGGGATTTATTTTAGAAAAATGTTAATTACTCCCAAACCGTATCTGCCAGGGAATATAATATATATACACATATACACAAATTATGTCGTACAAGTGACCTGGCATTTGATTAAATGTTGCTGCCCCTGCCCCCCCTTGGAGACACCCATGCCTAGTTAATACAGTATAAAACCGTTGATAAGATAACAAAAACCATAACCTACTATATAAATTTTTGTATTGTCATTAATATATACTTTTAGAATATAAGAAACTTCACCACAGGTTTTACGATCCCAAAAACATTTTAGGATAGATATTTTTATTTATGGGGTGGCAATACAAATTTTATAAATTTATAATATTTATGTCTCCTTCTGCTCTTGTGCTGGTTGTTGTTCAGTGGTGAGTTTCTGAAAAAGATCGAAATAATACAAACAGTAATTTTTAAAAACCAAGTATTTTACTGAACGTTAAATATAAAACATAAGCATTAATAATAACTCGTACATTTTTATCAAATCCAGGTGCGCCGCAACTTTTAAGCTTGTTTTTCGTTTCTTTTACATCCAGATCCTTTTTTTCGCAAAACTCCAATAAAAGTAATAGAAAAGTCTTGTAGTCAAGTGATAGCCTTCTGAAAAAAACAGATATTTAAATTTCACCGATGAAGATAAAAACACAAATTATTTATCTATTAAATTATTTAAAAAATTAGTCTCAAAATGGCATTGAGCATAAAAAAATTACAATTTTTTTACGATTTTTAAAATTAAATTTTATATTTTTCTTCCAAAAAGGGGGTTTTCCAATTTTTTTTTGTCGAAAAATAGGTTCTTTTATAGAGAAATATATTAGTATATCTACAGTGTGTGCGATTTAAGACCGCAACACCCCATAATTTTGAAACGCGTTGGCTGTTTTATTTTTTTACACAATGAGCTCTATTTGATCATTTTAAAATTTCTTGATTTCAAGGCCTGCTTAAATCTGCTAAATGGGTTAAAATTTAGAGATCGACCATGAGTTTTTTTTTTAAATAATGGATTCGCATTCTATTTAGAATATACTTTTTTTAATTTTAGGGGGTTAGTTTCCAAAATCCCCGTTAGATATCTATGTATCCAAGTCAAATAATACTTGACCTACCTATTTTGTACGCATAATACAGGGTCAGTCGAAAAGTGAAAAAAATAAATTTGGCGTTACCTATAAGTATTAATACAATTAACAATAATTGTTAATTAATAGTTAATTTTTGTAATTAAGGTAAATTTTCACAAAATGCACTTTATTTTTTTTTGACAGCCCAAATTTCCTAAATAATTATTTAGGAAATTTGGGCTGTCAAAAAAAAATAAAGTGCATTTTGTTAATTGCGTTATAAGTTATTTAACATGATATTCACTTATTTTTACTTTAAAAACTTACTTAAATTTATTAAAGCTTACTCCGGTATCGGTGTAGGTAATATTTCTAAAATTAATAATTTCGGCTTGCACAAACCATCTATCGAGCTGTTGAATTGTTATGGTTTTTCCATCCGCCTTGGGATCCATATACTTTGCGAAATTCATAAATTGCACGTCCAAAGGATAAACTGGTATTGTTGGAAGGGCGTCAGGAACTGGTGGATTAACTGGTGGATTGACTGGTGGATTGACTGGTGGATTAACTGGTGGATTGGTCTCGGATGGCGTGTCCATTTTTAAAGATAACACCTCAATCGCTAAATTATTTTTTTCGGGGAATTTGTTAACAAATTGTAGCACAATAATTTTTGACAAATGTTTATTGCTAGGTTAAAAAAAACTGACGGAACAAAAGTAACATATAACATAACTCTCATATCTATGCTCAAAAATGCAAAGTTACTATTGTAATATATTTATAATTTTTTTTTATTTGCTTTAGGTATTTTTATATTTTAAATTTTTGTATGTGTATTTATAATATAATACTATTGTAATATATTTATAATTTTTTTTATTTGATTTAGGTATTTTTATATTTTAAATTTTTGTATGTGTATTTATAATATAATAGGTACCCAATTTCTCAAACAATGCATTTGTGGACCAAGTGGTCCACTTTTTTTCATTTTTCTGTCAAATTTGGCACGTTCCGTTGAAATCGCTTAACTTACGATCGAGTGGTGATTTTTCGACCAAACTCGGGAAAAAAGGTGCTTCGGGACAATATTGCAAACGGGCCGGATCCGCCGGAAACTTTTGGAGTTGCGATCTTTTTTGATTTTTTTCGAAAATTTTGTCGGCCTAGAGAAATTTTTGAAATTGGCCAAACAAAATACACGAATCGACGGGTAAAAGAACAAACTTTGACAAACTAAAAGATGATCTATATCGAATAAAAACGAATCGGCCAAAAGCCCGTTTAATTTTTGTTTGGTATTTAAAAAAGTTTACCAATTAAAATCTCCAAAATCTAATCGATTACAGGGAGATCCAACAAAATATTAGGTAATAATGCGGCATTGCCAAATTCAATTGAGGTGTTGCCCGCTTTTGTATAAATCTCTCAAACAATAAAATATAATTAATAAAATTAATTTATTAGGTGGATCTTTGAATTAAAGTCAATTTAATTTTTTTCGCAAATAATACATATACCGGCGAATCGCAAAACACTTTGACAGATGTCAAGTAAACAGGTGGCAGGTGACATATTTCAAGTATCAGATGTCACGTTGACAGATGACAGGTAAAAGATAAAAGGTGCCAGATGACAGATGTCAAGTTGACACATGACAGATGACAAATGGCAGATGACAAATGGTAGGTGACAGAGATCCCAGCTAGCACAAGTCTGTCCTAAGGACGTCCTAAGGAAAGCCTTACAGGATATTGGGATATCCCAAGGATATCCTAGGACGTCCTCAGACCTCCTCAGGACATCCCAACCATGGCCGAGTGGTGCAAAAAAGGCCAGCCTACAGACGTCCCGCAAATGGCCTTTAGGATATCCTAGGGATATCCCTAGGTCCATATAGGTCCAGGAATAGGACATCCTAAGGATGTCCCCTGAAAGTCCCATGGGTATATGTAGGTCCAGGAATGGGATGTCCTGAGGACATCCTCTGAATGGCCTTGTTATTTGTTGGGGATACATTTTATCAATCAAATACCATTTTATTACTTTATAAAATATATTATTTTAATTCTGTATACATATATATAATTTTACAAAGCCAATTATATAAAATAAATAATAATTCTAAATAAATATATATATTATAATAGTTATATTATTAATGTATCACAGTGTCCAAAGTTATCTGCTCACCATTTTAACTCCATTATTATTGCAGCTACAAAGTCGGTTAAATTGGCAAATTAGTGGCATTTTTTCTTCTGAAAATTTTGAAACAAATTAAATAGTATGCTTATTATAACTCACCAGAATTTTATGATTGTTGTTCACTTCAATCTTCAAGCAAATTAGTATTTAAGGTTTATTTCGAAGAGAACACTATAATAATATTATATTCTAACAAACACACTTGGAGAACACGAGATTCACGGCCTTAAACCAGGTTCACGACACAGAAAAAGAATTCACGGCACAGACAAAGAATTCCTTTCACAGTGTTATCTATGATTCTTTCTAACAAAAAGGCGACAAACAACTAAAGGACGCTATACGTCATCTTAGCTTTCTCTCCATCCAGTGTTACCACCATCTTTGGTTACCACCATAGACAATGGTTACCACCATAACGTAAGGCGGCAAATTTAAAACAATCGGTAACACAAACTATTAAAGTTATAGATTGCGTTTGTAATTACATTTTTAAGGTTAACTGACGCTTACTACCTTATTTATTATTTATAAAACTCAAAATGTATCAATACCTTACAAACAAGGTGTTTGATCAATTATTAATTACCAGCCGTCATTTCTGCGCATGCGTATTAAGTTGGCTGCTATCCAATTTTATACAAAATATATTTTGTGGTCATAATATGACCACAAAATATATTTTGTATACAACTGGATATTATAACAAATACACAAAATATAATATTGTTTTTAAACTCCCGCCTTTAAAACGCCGATTATCGTACATGTTTCCATGATATTTTAAATACACATTGACAAGTTGTGGCTTTATGACGTTTTAGTCACGGGTTGAAGTTGGCAGCAATGGCATTCGGACTTTTTAGTCATGGGTTGAAGTTAATTGCGAAACAATGACCATCAAAATAAAGGGTCTAAAAAGTGAGGTTAGAATAGACTGGTCGATGTCAGATTTTATAAATAATTATTTATATATAATTGTTGAAAGTTATTTAATTTTTGTGATTGTCGTAGAAAAAATATAGTATGCAAGTCGTTTATAAACTTAAAAAAATCTATATAATATAATATTATAATTATATTGATTGACATTTTTAAGATGTGCCTATGCAAAATAAGTTATGTAAAAAAATGTAGGTAGGTATTATTAATTATATGGGTAAAATTTTCTTATAGAAAAATGTGCATACCAAATGTTTACCAAAACCTAACGGGACATTCTGAGGATGTCTCTGGGATTAGTCCTATGATCAGCCCATTTTAGGCTTTAATTAGGATATTATTAGGTCCTAACGACATCCTTAAATGACGTTCCTAGGATATCCCAAAACGGGACCTAAAAAAGATCTAATGTCCGATAAGGTCAACCTATGGACGTCCTCAGGAAGTCCTTATAGGATCATCCCATTCTGGGACATTTAGGCTGGTCCAAGGACGTCCTGAGGATGTTTGTGCTTGCTGGGATAACATGTGAGAAATATAAAAATAATATACAGGGTGTTTACGGTCTAGGGGTCGAAAATTGAACCGGCGGTGTAAGGTAATAAAGTAATGGTAGATTTGTTGAAATTTTGAAAAAAAAAATCAATTGCAAAAAAGTTATTTAAGTTTAAATTTTTTAAAATTTTTGTTAAAACTTTTGAGGGTCATGGGTTTTATGCGGGTGGAGACTTAAAAAACGTACCTATTTTAAACAATGAATACTAATGTTTTTGCTTTGATGTTGTTGTTATGTAATTGCCAAAAAATCTGTTATACAGGGTGTTTACGATTGAAAATTAAAAAAGTAAAATCGCATTAATAAATAACAAAACACTCTTTAATTCAAGCTTTTTATTTTGGAACTACATTATTAAAGCAAATTAAAGTTTCCTCCGTTGCAGTTTAAGCACAGTCGTGCGCGTCTCAACAGCGATTGGCAAGCTTGCCTCATAGCACCACCTTCTCGTAACTGTTCTGTAGCCTCGTGGACCCTTTGACGAAGCTCATTGACGTCTTGCACCTCTGGCAATCCTGGCCGATAGATTAAGTTTTTTAGAAAGCCCCATACATAAAAATCCATCGGATTTAAATCAGGGCTTCTTGGTGGCCAAGCAATTGGTCCCCCACGCCCAATCCAACGATACGGAAACTCGTGATCCAAAAACGCACGGACTGCTTCGAGGTAGTGACATGGAGCACCGTCATGCATGAAAAACATTCTTTGCCGGATTGCCAGAGGTACGACGTCATCCACAAGCGGTTCTAAGCCATGTTGGAGGAAATTCAGGTATTCGAGGCCGTTCATTCTTTGTGGGAGTTCATAGAGGCCTAGCAGGCATCCATTTACTATTCCACCCCAAAAATTAATGGAAAATCTTTGCTGAAAATTGGTACGTCTGATGGCATGAGGGTTCTCTGCGGACCATTGGTGGTAATTATGAAAATTAAAAATACCATTTCTGGTAAATGTACATTCGTCAGTGAACAAAATTTCGTCAACAAAATTAGGATTAGCCTCATTTTGTTGGAGAATCCACTGGCAGAACTCGATTCTCCTTTCGGGGTCGTCAGGATTTAAAGCCTGCACTCTTTGAAAGTGATAAGGGTGCTGCAGGTCTTCATTGAGGGTGCGCCAAACTACCCTATTTGATACTCGTAACTGACGACCAATGCTCCTAGTGCTTCGTGATGGGTCCTCTGCTACCAGTTGCAGTACTTGTTCCTCTGCGTTCAAAATTCTTTGCAACCTATCAGGGCCCCCATCACGACCATAATGGGGTTGGAGCTCCCCGGTATCGCGGGCTCGCTGCGTTACGTTAAAAAATCTCCGAGGCGCGGGGTGAAAGCGATTTGGGAATTTATTAGCGTAAATTCGACTTGCTTCTTCAGCATTACCTTGTGCTTCCCCGTACACCATTATCATATCCACTAATTCGTTATTAGAATAAACATGAGCCATTGCAAAATTAATTCAGTTTTTTGACGGAATTAGAAAGTTTTTTTTGAAGTATTCAAATCCATGACATTATTCTTTATTGTTTAAGAAACGTTTTGTTGTCAGTTTTTTTATTTAAGTCTCCACCCGTATCAAACCAATGACCCTCAAAAGTTGTATCAAAACTTTGAATAAATTTAAATTTTAATAACTTTTTTATAATTGATTTTTTTTTCAAAATTCCAACAAATCTACCATTACTTTATTACCTTACACCGCCGGTTCAATTTTCGACCCCTAGACCGTAAACACCCTGTATAGTATACCCAGTTTAGGTGGATGGGTGGAGCGGTCGCGGCGCGATTCCCACCCGCAGTGAGCAAAAGTGCAAAAGCATGGGAGATGCAAAAATGCATCGATTTCCCAAAAACGATAAGGCATGTCCTTTTTGCCGAAATAACAAAAAATACCTATGTTGATTCTCCAAGCACCAAGTCTTGAAATTTCTATTGTTCACAAGTAAATTTGTCTTGTTAACAAAAATAAGAATAAGAATTCTTATATAAACATATTTTACCTTATAGAATAAAAATATTAGGAATGTAATAGTTAGATAAGTTCATATGACTGATTTTAAGTTTAAGTGTTTTAAACATTGCGTTTATATATTTTTTAACTTTGACAAATAAAATAATAATTACAAAAATAGTAGTTTTATTATGTTTTATTATTTCTCTATTTACTTTCACTAAAAAAATATTACAAATCTAGTGGAAGTAAACAAATGATTAATACAATCCAGTAAAAAAATTTAAACAATAATTTGAATATCTCTTTTGACTACATCCGCTGGAGGGCGCAGTAGCCACTGAAACAAAATTTAATACTAAATTGCATTTCTAACTAACACCCCTCCACCCAAAGATAATACACCCACCCACCCAACATATTCTATGATTTAATGTCGGTAAAAATAAAATGTCAAATTTTGTTTTGTATATTTAAATGCTAGACTCAGTTTACATTTACTTGTAATGATTTTATTCAAATTTTATAATACACTGCGCGTCAAAATTAACGCATATTAAGTAAAAATAACTCTAAAACGCCTTTACCAATCTTTATGAAATTTTGTATAAGAATACTTCAGTTTACGTGTTTGAGGGTTTTTCGACAAAATATTTTTAAAGCCCTTTTATTTAATAATAAAAAAACGCTCGAAAAATAACTTTTAGGGAAGTAAAAAAATATGCTGTTAAAGGCCGTATTTTTGTTAGTATACCCTGAAAATTTTGTACAAATCAAACGAACAGTAACGAAGATAAAGCGCTTCAAAGTCGGTAAAAGTGCCCTTTTTGATTATTTTTTCTGAAAAGTGGTCATTTTTGACGACTTTGAAGCGCTGTATTTTCGTTACTGTTCGTTTGATTTGTACAACATTTTCAGGGTATACTTACAAAAATACGGTATTTCACAGCATATTTTTTATTTACTTCAAAAAAATTCCCTATAAAAGTTTTTTCGAGCGTTTTTTTTATTATGAAATAATAGGGCTTTAAGGGTTTTTTTTCGAAAAACCCTTGAACCCTTGAAACTGAGATATAAGTTAAAGTATTTTTATCTAAAATTTTTTAAAGATTGGTAAAGGCGTTTTAAAGTTAGAATTTTTTTTTACTTATTATGCGTTAATTTTGACGGGCAGTGTATAATTTTGATAAACAAAACTAGAAAAACAAGTTTTAAGCACATCGTTGACATGAAAATTAAAAGGGTTGCCAAAATTATGAAATAAAAATCAATAATTTCGATGCTCTTAAGAAGCTCTTAGTACAACTGAAAACTATGCGTCCAAAAACTCTTAGTAGCATCAAAATAGGCAAAATTTAAAAAAACGTTTAAAATAAACAAGAAAACAATATTTTTATTGAATAAAAATAACTACCCAAAAACTACTCGAGAAAAAAAATATTTCTTTATTTAACTAAGTGGTCTTAAAATTAAACTTATTATTACTATAGTGCGCCATTTTCGAGACAATCTGTATAATAGCGTTATTTAATTAAAAATAAACCTGAAAATTTATTTTGTAACGTATTTAACCACCATAAGGAACTTATCATAATTATAAGGCAGGTTAATAAAATATACAAAAAATCATAGGAGATAATCAGGAACCGGAGGAAGTTTGCGCGTTGAAGGCCGACCTACATAAAACACACCACAGTAGTGTAAATTTGGACGTCGCAGCGGCAGCGTCTCTCCCATGTAATCAAACTACAGCATCAAAATCAGGGGAAATTTTATATTTTTATCAAAAAAATACCTACGAATTATAATAGTGAGAAATCCAACAAGTTAGTGAGTTATTAAATCCGGTAAGTTATGAATTTTTGATGTGCCTAAATTACCCCCTATTTCAGTAAAAGTACCTAAGATTGAATGTTATCACGCGATGTTTGAGATATAATATTGAATAATTTGTTTGATTTTTCATCTCAAATTTATATCCATTATATTACTCTAATTGTAAATAATAAAACTATAAAAATAAATTCAAATTATTTTTATAAAGTAATAAAAATATTATGGAAAATATCTTTAATAACACATTTGCAAATTATTTATTTACTTTCGAGTTATAAATAAATCTAAACCAAACAAAGTATAACAAACTAAATCTAACAAAACATGTTCGTGCATTTGACAAATTTCTATCGCTATTTTCCTTTTTCTTTTTGAAGGGCTTTGTCATGAGTTTTCCTCGAATAATCGATTTTTTGATGTGCGCATGAAACCCTTAGCGTAGGGGATGAAATGGACGCACATTGTTCACAATTTAATAGCGATTTTATTTTAGCCTATGACATCATACCCTCAATTAAGTTTGCTTAACATTTAAACTTTATTTACATTCTAGAATAACCAAATATCCAATGTGGTGTTTTTTGTAGGCAGTTGAAAAAAATTTTACTTGAATAAATGCCTGGTAAACAAAGAACACTTTTGAAATTGTTTTAGTTTAAACTACATTTGTGATATTTTTAAATTTTGTATTTAAACTTCCTCGAGCTCTATCAGAAACACTCCAAAGTTAAATTGTTGAAGTAAATTTACTTTTTAAAACTTTTTATTACATATGTATGTATGTTTGTTTGAATACACTGCAGTATTTTATTATTAATTATTTGAACTGCACGCACTAAAGCAATTTACACCTAAAAAATTAATTCATTAATGCATAATTTATAAGATCATTTAATTGCAGTAGGAAGTTATTAATTGGGATTTAGTATTTGGGAAAACTACTAAATAAAAGAGTTTTGTTTAAAAATTCATAAACAATAACTTTTTGTATTAATTAGCATGTGTTTAAAATATACCTATTTATAGCCTTGACCAAAGCAGTAAATGATAGAAAGCATAATAGAAATGATGTCATATTTTTGGTATACCTAACGATAATGTTTTACACAAATTATATTTAGGTATAGTGTAATACACTAAAATATTTTTTTATGTAAGTATTTTAAAACATTTTTAAATTTAAATCGTTGATTTATTTTAGATTTTAAACCCGGCGCCTCCGCCAAAATTTAAAAAAATGCCAATTCGCGTATTTAAATAACAAAATAAATTTATATTTTCATACGGAAACTGATAAAAAGCTAAAAAATGACGTGTTGTTTTAATAATTAAACAATTATTGTTGTATTTAAATTTTAATTTTGAAAATTGACGAATTTTGCCTGAAAACGTTATAATATTATTATTTTTTAAAAACATGATTTTTAGAGGGAAATACATTTTTTTAGTTTAATTAGTGTGTCTGTTATTTTGTTGTTTTGTTTTACTTGGGTATCATATAAATAATTATTATTTGTTTACAGTCCAAAAACAATTTTTAAAAAAATATTTTTTTGTAACCCTGCCTAAATGAAATTTTAATGACAAGAAAATATTCATAACTCGCTAATAGAATATATAGAATAGTTTTGTAGAAAATTTTACGCTTTACAAAAATTGTCTTTTACGATTTTTTAAATAATATACATAGAACAATGTTTGAAATAAATAAAAAATATATTTCATAAGTTGTCTTTTATTAATCTTTTTTTTCGGCAAATTATTTGTTAAAGTTTCAAATAAATTTTATAAAAATATTATTTTTTAACCCTGCCTAAATGATGATACTTAACATTTTTATTTACATTGTTTTTTAAATATACCTATGTAAAATTGTCTCGTGCATACAACTTTTTTCATCAATATTCAATCTTGAAAACTCGAATTCGAAATACATGGAAAAGAACAAATTTGGTGATATTTGATATTTGAAAACAAAACACAAAGTGCTTAAAGTACTTTTCGCCAACGATATTGGCATCTTCAGAAGCAAAGTGTAAATGTAACAATTCGCTTCAGAAGATGCCAACATCGTTGGCGAAAAGAATACTTTAAGCACTTTGTGTTTTGTCTTGGTTCTGGGAAATATTTCTAATATTTGTTTGGTATTTAAAAGAAAAAGTTTTACAATATTCGATAAATTGAGCCTAACTTTTAAAAAGTAGAGTAGCTGAAGCATTTTTACCCTAGAAAAGAATAATCCCTTATTTGCATTTAAATTAAAAGATTCAAAAGTCAGCATTTTAATTAAAATCATGAGATGGTAGCTTGAAATCGACTGATTTGATTATTATAATTTAAATTAAATTTAACCTGGCGGAATAAATAACGAAATTTAACATTTATGTTGATTGATGACTTCATAGCTACTATTTTAAAGTAATACATTTGATATTTACTTTATAATTGACGTTTATCTATGTACCTGTGTGAATAACATACTCGCATATACAGTGGATTATAAAATGTTAAGATTAGATTAAAATTTGTAAATAAATGTTCCTATCTTAACTGTTTACCAAGTTTAAAAAATATTTTTAAAAACAAAAAATAAACACTCTACATACCTATTTATTAAATCAATATTAACCATAGGAACCTTATATCTGTTAATTAATGCCTACTAAAAGTAATTTGGTGCCTATAAAAGGAAATCATAGTTAACCATATCATGAATGTAATTTAAATTACTTGGCTTAAAATAGAATGGCTTTTAGCTTGTTTCCACCCTTTCTGCAACGTTAACATTAATCAAATTAGTAGGTAGCGTGGTATAATTCATTTATTTTTTTTCATAACGTTTGCCAAGTTTTTAAGTTTTTCATTTATAAAACTTTATCTTTATTATTAATAATAATAATATTATACAATGTACAATAATCATTTTTATTTAAAAAAATGCTTTTTTTTAAATTGAATACCAATTTGGTTTTTGACAATAACCAAGACATAAAAAATAATTTAAGGAAAATCTTTATGTGTATAATTTAAATTATTTATTTACAGTCTAAAAACAATTTTCCAAAAAATTCTATTTTTTTTTTGATGTTATTTAACCTTGCCTATAAAGGATATTTTAATGACATAAGAAAATATGTATAACTTGCTTATTAACGGACATGCAACAATATAGAAGACATATTTTTTTAGTAAATTTTACGCTTTATAAAAGAGGTCATTTACGATTTTTTCGTAAAACCATTCATTTAAACGATACCAAAGGACAATATTATTTTAAACGACTTGCCAAAAATGTATTCATAAGTTGGTCAAATAAATGAATTTGAATTTGAATAAATAACTATTATTAAATAATTTAGATAATACCCTTTGGTTAAAAAGAAAAAAAAGCCACTTATAAACTGAGAAAAAATAAATAAACATAAAATACCTTTTTTGTAAAGCGAAAAATTTACTATAAAAGTTCATATGGAATACAATGAGAAAAGATTCTTTGAAAAACGTTTGGACACATAAACTTTAGTTTTACAATACAATAATTATAATTTTAAATTTTTAGTGCGACGATACCCCATAAGTAGGGTTTAGTAGACATAGTTTTAATACAGGGTGGAATGTAATGACAGATTAAAAAACTAAACTTTTTATTTTAAAATTAATTAAAAATTTAAAAATAAACTGTTTTTCAATCTTATCAATGATTATGAACATAACACCGTAAGTTTTAAACAGTGCGGGAACAATTTCACAGTAATCTACTGTGAAATTATGTTCATAATTTCTGCAGTTATTCTGTTTATTAATTCATCTAAATTAGCAGGTTATGTTTTAAACACCATGTATTTTAGATGTCTCCATAGGAAAAAGTCTAGATGTGTTAGATCTAGTGATCTTGCTGGCCATTCTATGAAACCTCTTCTTCTGATCCACAAGGAAGAGCAGTGAGGTGGTGCACGACCTAAGCAATATCTTTTCATTGGGAAGATTAGGTTCCAATGAATTTAAAAACAACTCTGCTAAAGTTGGGACAAGTTGTTCTCTTAGCATTTCCCGTTGGGTATGACTTTGTCTCATCCAGTGGGGGTTTTCTTATGCCCAGTATCTGCAATTCTGCCCCTATTTACCTCGCCATTCAGAAGAAATGTTGATGTATCAGAAAAAAGAATATCAGAAGAATGCTCGCAAAATTCCAATATTCTATCAGAATCACCGTCAATCAATTCTGGTACGTGTTGTAGTTTATGTGGATGCATTTTTTCGGCTTTTACACATCTTAAAACAGAGTTTCTGTTAAGTGACGCATTTTTTAATTAAAATGTTACCGCACTAAGAACAAATTATTGCAATTTTATTAAGAGCACTTGGATCAAAGAAAATAATCATCTTAATCATCTTATCTAAGCGAAAAAACATGAAGCCACAACAGAAAAAACTAAAGCATAGAATAATCATAACGAATTTCTACTTGTAATTTGTAAATAATCACCCTGTATTGAAAACTATGTTTACTAAACCCTACTTATGGTATTGTCGTACTCAAAAAAAGTGCGCATAATGTGGTGGGGACAAAAAATTTAAAATAATAATTATATTTGAAATAAAAAACTAGAGTTTGTGTGTCCGAGCGTTTTTCATAAAAATATTTTCTTATTGAATTTATTCGTTATTTCATATGTCAGAACCACACTGTACCTATATAGTTGCATGTCTATTTATTAAGCCAGTGTTAGTGAGTTATATACTCTTTTTTTCTCATTAAAATGTCTCTTAGGAAGCGTAAAACGACAATTTTTTTAAAATTGTTTTTAGACTTTAAACAAATAAATTAGATGAAACCAAAGTAAAAAAATCAATAACAGACACCCTAGTATGTATGTTAATAAGTATTTATATTCATTAAATAAATTAATTTTTTAATTTAATTTTTTCGCATAGCGAAACCGTAACAGTGGTAATCGCCTTTATCAGCTTGTATTGATCAAAACCTAGTTTCCACGCCTATAAAAGAACAACAGAATTTAGGTTTAAATAAATAAAAGTGGACCAACGCCCTTAAATAACATAAAAGAAGCATACAAACACGTATAATTATTATTAGCTATTCAGAAATTAAATATTAAACTTGAATAAAAATTTCACTATTTTGTATGTTTCTGAAATATTTCTGGTTTAAAATTAGACACTAGTTTTACGAATCATGTAAAATAAAAATAGAACTAGTCCTAATGGACACTCTATTTTTACTTATTATGCATAAACTTCAATATCTTGAAACTTATCTAGATCTTTGGTTCTTTGTATACCTAATAATAATAATGCAATACCTAGTTATTTATATCATTAGGCTAAAAAGTAAGATTTTTGTGCTCAGCTCAAAGTTTGAGGGAATCACAGAAAGACACTTCTCAGCCGAATGTCATACAATGTTTAATTTTTAAAGCATAATTTTATTTGTTAAACGATACGATAAAACGTTAAAATATAACAATAAGTATTAATAGTAAAAAGTGTGGTTAAGTAGATCCAATAGAATTTTCTGATTGGTCCAAACGGGTAAAAAAGATGACCCGACTGGTCTAAAGTTGTTTTACAGTCTAGGCAATAGTCAATCACTTGTGTTGTATATACTATTATTTTTTTAAGCATTTAATATATTAGTATATAGTTTCAATGAAAGTACACAATTATAATTTTGTACTTTCATTGAAACTATCGAGTTTGCGATATTTTGTCAGGTTTGACGTTTGACATATGTTATATTATAGGTTATGTACATGAATTTATTCTACAGTGACCTGTCAGTTTACATTTACTTTGATGATTTCGAGCTAAACGCGATAGATGGAACCACTCTTCCTATGTAATTTCAATTAATATTTTCGTTATTGTACGAAGGTGTATAATAATTTGAGTTTTGATCTTCGTACAAATATGCATTTTTTCTATAAAAGCTAATGAGTTTTATAATATGAAAATTGTTATAAGCTTCAAAAACAAATAGTTATTTATATTTAGTCCAGATTGTCGCATTGGTCAACGATTGTCAGATAGTAAAATGAACTCAATGAAATTTTGTAGAATTAATTTTATTTTATTGTTTTATAAGATATATTATACCTAGAATATTATTAAATTATTATTAAAATTTTAACTTTTAGGCACAACCTAGCGAATAAATTAATAATAATGTACCACCGGATAAGTTACAAAAAAGTTACAAATTATTTTTGGTTTTTTTGAAAAAGTATGTTTTATGACTTTTCCTTTTGTTTTCAAACCCCTATAACTTTAACGGTTTGTAAGAAAATTATATATATTTTTTCAAAATTGGGATGCAATTTTTTCAGAAAAAAAGAAGAAAAATATTTGTATTATTTTTTAAATATCTCTTAGCTTTCTTGAGAAAATGACTCTTTGTAAGTTGTCCCGAAAATGGGGGAATAACACGCGAGTTATTAAAAAATATAACAATTTTTTTACACCAGTAGCTGACATGGTTGATATCTAAAAACTGTTAATTTTTGCCAAAAATTCAATTATGGCATCTTAGATTGACATGGTTCACTGATGAATTTTCTGACAGTTTTGAACTTTTATTTGTTAAAAACTAGACTTAAAATATTAAATATAATAATCTTTATAAAGTCAAAAATGACTAATTGTCATAGCGATAAAGCAGCCACTAATATTTCTAGTCAACAGCAATTTGTATCTCGGACATTTAGCAGTTAATTTCTACTTAATATCGCCGCTGAATCCGAAAATGTCTTCAGAAGTTATATAAGTAGAACGGTTTTTGAGATATAGTCATTTTTCCATATAATATGGAATTGACTATATCTCAAAAACTGCTCTACTTTTATCTTTTGACAGTATTTTCGGATTGGGTGAACAATTTTACATAAGAATTGACTGTTAAATGTCCGGGATACAAATTGATGCAGTTATCAGTGGCTGCTTTTTTGCTCTAACAGGTACTAAACAGAGGGGACATAATACGTTAAGGAAAGCTTTAGTTTCAATATAAATTATTTGAAATTATACTTTTTTATATACTTTTTTACTGACAAAATACCATTGACGAATGTTAAATTACAGAAATGCAGTGGAGAAGCCAATTTATTTAAATTTAAAAAAATGCCCATACCTAAAAACATAATAATAATAATAATAATAATCCTGTGGATAACAAAAAATATTACTATATAAATTTTGTATTTTTTTCAGTAAAACCATGTCTGCGGAACCACCAACCCAAGAGGTCCAGAACCTGAAAATCGAAAATGGCGACGTGAAAACAGAAGCTCCCGGTACTCCACCCTCCAAAGAAGCAAGTGCAGTAACTTTCGAAGAAAACTTTAAAGTTTTTGCGAAATTTGGCGACCCGAAATCGGACGGCAAGCAAATCACATTGTCGAACAGCGACAAGTGGATGAAACAGGCCAAAGTAATCGACGGAAAAAAAATTACCACGACCGACACGGGGATCTATTTTAAGAAACTGAAATCCCAAAAGGTTGCGATTGTCGACTACAAAAAGTTTTTGGAAGACTTGGCAAAGAATAAGAAGGTTGAAGTCGTCGAAATTAAAAATAAATTGGCTGGTTGTGGCCCCCCTGGACATCATGGGCTTGGGGTAAATAATTTTTATATTGATTTATTTTAATTTTCGTGTTTTTGTTTTACAGGGTGTTACTCACGGTTCACCGAACACCGTTTTTAACGAAAAAATTAGAACAACTTTAAAACATTTAAAAAAAAATACTTACCAACTAAGTATTCAAAAAAAAGTAAAATGAAAATCTTCCATGTAGATCTTGGGAAATTTATGTGTAGTATCGTATATTAATAATATTTTAACTGTCTCAAAGTTAATATTTGTATATTCTATAGAATATTTTTAATTTGAAAGACTCATACGATAGTGGAAACTCAAACTTTATTCTTCTGAATGCATTATTCAAAATTATAAACGTAAAAATTGATAAACTTTAACAAAAATGTAAAAAACAACAAAATAAATCTAAGCCTACAGATGTTGACTATTTTATGCACAAAGACATCGAAGAAAGTTCATATAAGTTATTTCTGGAACTACTTGATTGAACGCCTCAAATACGGATATATATTTATTGTCTAAAATAGGAATTATAAATTAAATTTGCCATAATGGTCAAAGCAGATTCCAGCACTTTTCGTCCATGCCTCCCAAATTCTGGATATTTGCTGTTTAGGGAATAAAAAAGTTTTTGTACAATGCCCAGCATAAGGTGAAGTTCTGGTGATGGAATAAAGAACAAAACTGGGACATTTTGAACATTTGAACTCGAACAAAAACGTCTACATGTAAAAAACATCGATAAAAATTCGAAGCAAATCCGGGCGCAATTTACAAGTTTTAACCACAGAATTAAAAATAATATTTTGTATTTAGCGGCAAGATAAAAATCGAAGCAACAAATTGTAAACCCAGGCATGTTCAATAGTCGGTATATACAGGCAAAAGAGGATTAGTTTTAATACGAATCTCACTTATAGTTGGCGGCTACTTTTAACAGAAAGAAATAGTGTTTTTATGCGAGGTCAAATATCAGTGGTCTAAACTATACAAACCTATTTCAATAAAAAATTGATATATTATCGACAAAATTATAAAAAAATAAGAAAGAAAAAGTTTCTTTTTCATGCATTTTTTATTACCTACTAAAGAAATAAATTATAATTCATATTTTAAATATAGCAACCCAAAAAACTGAAAGTATTAAAAAAACAGTTTTTTGACAAAATTTTTGACAGATCTACATATAGGATTTTCATTTTACTTTTTTTTGAATAGTTAGTTGGTAAGTATTTTTTTTAAAAATGTTTTAAAGTTGTTCTATTTTTTTCGTTAAAAACGGTGTTCGGTGAACCGTGTACTTAAATATGTAGGTACAATAAATTTAACAGACGATTCTTTGAGTGATTTTAAGATAAACATTGGTCTGAAATGACAGTAAAAAAATATTTGTTAATTTTAACCAAATATTAACCAGATCCACATATGTAACTTTATGTTAAGTTTACAACCAACTGTAATCTGTTAACTAATTGAATAAGTTTGTCATTATAACAAACATTTTGTAGATTTAATAACAAAATACTATACCAATAATTCAACCATAATTCTTGTAATTTTTTAAAAGGACCTTTACAAACCTTTTTTAGGCCCAGTAACAAAAGTATTTGTTGTAAATTTGGAACTTAAATGAAAAGAATTTTGATAAGAAATACTGCTTTATTAATCAATTTCCTAAACAAAAAAATTAACACATACACACAATTAAATAAAAGTAAATAGACCCCACCAATGGATACTTTGTAAATGATCATTATTTATCATTTCGTAATTTTTATGTGTGTATTGTTCTATTTTATTTATTATTGTCTGTAACTAGACTTGCCACAAACATTGATGTAATTCTGGTGAAATAAATTATTATTATTATTAAATAACACACTATTCTAAAATCATCAAATTATAAAGAAATTTGGTAGAATATAATTATCAGTACTAATACAATACTTGGAGACGCTGAGATCAGTTGAACTTGTTAATTGGCTGCCTGAAATCACGTGTACCTACTTTTTTAACGAAATTTGTTAAACATTAACAAAATAATCTGTAACCTTTAAAAATAACAAAATGTTTTCAAAATTACACATTACCTTTACAAAACTTTCGGTATAAATATTTTCGCTTGTTAAAATAATTAGAAACCCTGGTTTTCTACAAAAAAATTATGTTAAAATTTTACAAAATAAAATTAACAAACTACAAACTCGTGTTAAGAAATCTGATTTTTATAAAAGTGAATGCTTCGTTTTTAAATTTATTTTTCGTAAATATGTTAAATTTGCTTTATCCAATAAAAAATATATTCATTTTTTCTTCAGTAATGGCGAATGCGCCGGGATTAATTGTAACAAAAATCTTTTATCCGAAATCGGCAGTAAAGTAAAAGATTAATCCCGGCGCATGCGCCATTATTGAAGAAAAAAATTGATATAAAAATTATTATTATAATAATATACCTATTTATTAAAAATCTTATTTTAGTCTGTTAAAGTGACGAGCACAGTGGACCGACTAACAGACACGTCAAAATTCACCGGAACCCACAAACAACGTTTCGACGAAACCGGAAAGGGCAAAGGAATCGCCGGCAGAAAAGATTTACCGGACACTTCCGGTTACGTGAGCGGATACAAAAACAAAGACACTTTCGAAAAAGAAAAACCCTAAAAAATTTAGTTTAGCACAAAAATAATATTATACCTATTAACATAATCACGAGAATATTTTTTATGAATGAGATTTTTATTTTGTAGGTATTAAAGTTTGTTTAAAAGAAAGGTCTTCAATATATTTGTAAACGCACATAAAATTTATAACATTAGATTTTTAGAAAAGACAAAAAATCAAAATTTATCCATTCTTCTTAAAATCTAAGTCTTTTAAATATTCTAAATATTTGAACAAATTTTAATGCCAACAAATATTAGTTATAAAAATAAATAAAATTATGTGTTAAGTACTTCTCTATTTATTGTATTTTTCAGTATTTTCTGTACATATATTTTTGTATTCGGATAATTAGGTAGATGTGTAAGTTTATCTAGAATTATATAATTGTTTTGACTTCAGATTTATTAAACCTTAAATTTAAAAAATGTTTTTTTCATTCATCCTTAAAGAAAGCATTCAAATTATGTTTTCTTGTTTCCAAATTCTCTTGAAAAATTTTAAAAATTTTAGATCCTAAATTGTATACAGTTTTACCAAACATTTTTTTAACGTGACCCAATATTAATTTAATTTTAAAGTCAAATATCGTACACACAAAAAACGCTTTTGATATAGTCAATAACAATACTATAATAGATTGTTTTTTCATTTCTTCAATAAAAGTTAAAGATTATTTAATCAAATACGTTTGGAGCAATTAAAGTTATTGATGTTATTACAAATATTATATTCAGCCCATAACAAAATATTATCAATTTAAAATTACTTGTTATAGTGTGAATGGCTCTTTATATTTAAACCTAATGGAAATGTGTACTTTCTTGAAAATGTTAGAAATAATTGTATTCAAAGTTTATCTGATCAAGGTAAAATTACCAATATTTAATTAAATATAAAATGATTTATATTAAAAGTTATAATTATAGCACTTGCTTCAACCAAAAATTAAAAACAAATGAAATAGGAATAGTCTTTGTTTCTAGGAAACTAAGGTAAAGCAAGTTATTACTGTCTACTGTCTGTCCCATTTTTTCAATGCGGCCTATATTAAATTTAATTATTGCTATAATTCAGAAAAACGCGCCAGGGCATCCCCTGCCACACCACACATCGGCAACCTGCAATCGCGTACGTGCGTATAGTTAAATGTGATCAACTGATTAATCGGTATTTCTGGTGACGCCGATTGATGTAAGTGGATGGGTTATCTCTGGTGTAGGTAGTGTTTGGTTGTTTGTTATATTTGCTAATTTCTTGGGGCTGTACTCCCTAATCCCGAACATGTTTCTTAATTGTATGTCATGCCAGTAATTTAATTACTCAATTATATCTAAATGATAACAAAAAGGTAAATATGTACTCATATAGGTATGGACACAGTTTATCTTGATTTCGGTGTCATGCCTTGAAATGACTATTTTGCTTGAATGGACGAAGTTTTTATTTATTTATAAAAAAACTTTCAGTACCATCATGATATCCTTGCAAGGCGTCCTGAAAGTATATATTGCTTTAGGACTTTCAGCAATCTTTAGAATTCGCCTCTAAATACATAAGATGAAGTTCCTATTTTGTATTAGAATAACTATGTGCCATGACAGACAGATCCTGCACATCCAGTACAGTAGTATATAAAGTTATAACTGTTTCTAGTGATGGGTCAGCAACTTTCTTAGAGCCTAATATCACCAACACTTTTAGTAGGTTCCTAATAGTTCCTACAGAAAACAGAACAATTTCATTTTATGGATCGATAAACCTGTGTACACAAGACTACCAGAAGCATTTTCCAAAATTCATTTTTATTTAAAGTTCATATTAATGTATTATACAACTAATATTTGCACAAGAATATACATATTTAAAGAAATTAGAGCTTTGATTGCATTTAATGTAGCCATTCATTAGAAACCATAACTTTAATTTATGCCAATGATAGTTTATCATTAAGATTCCTTGTGGCTTCAATAGTTATAATTGTTATTTAATTAAAGTTCAATTAACAATTTAATTCAATAATTTCTTATGTTTTAACTTACTTTTAATACGGATTTAATAGAATCACAATTTAATTCATTGACTAATTTTAAGCAGGTTTGCACAAATAAATGTAAGACAATCATTTATTTGATCATAGCTGTAATTTAAGTATTGCAAATACAGTACACCATTGTTTAACGCATTCACAATTATTATTATTATTATATGAAAGCTTTTTCTTTGTGTAGACTCTTTCTACCCGAATGCTTTTATAAAACACACTGTATGATAAAGTTTTGTCACAAAATGTCATTTACCATTAGAAAAACTCAATTTTTCGTAAATCATCCAAGAAAAAATCTTAATTTTCTCAATAAATTTTTAAGCGGCAAATGTGGAAGGTAACCAACTTTCTTCCTATCTAATACAATTTTTTGCAAAAAATATTTTAAGAACATGTTTGTTACAACCAAAAGACAAAGTAGCTGTAATAACTGGTGGAACTGGAGCTCTTGGCGTGGCAATTACCAAGGAATTGTTGTGTAAAGATATTAAAAAAGTGTATATGATAGATACTTGTAAGGATTTAGAGATATTGAATACCCTTTGTGTTGAATTTGGTCCTGTTAAAGTGGATTTAATTCATTGTGATGTTAACCACAGCTTCGATATGGAGGGTAAACTTAAATTTATCTAAAAATAAGACCATTAAAAGTTTTGTTCTTTAGATGCCTTTAGAAAGGTTGTAGATGAATCTGAAAAATTGGACGTTATTATTAATGCAGCAGGAATATTCAACGGTAGATTGTGGCAGGATGAAATGCAGACAAACTTGGTACCAATTTAATAATCAAAAATAAATATACCAAATACATATTTCTTTAGTTTTCAACGATTCGCAACAACTTGGTCGGGCAAAAATATATGACCAAATGCGGTTGTATTCTTAACGTTTGTGGTTTGCAAGCCATAGAACCTTTGGTGCCGTCACCAACCCTGTCAGCAGGGTACTCTGGAGTCGTTGCTGCTACAAGAAGCTTTGGACATCCAAAAAACTTCGAGAGGCACTACGTTAGAACAGTTGCGTTGTGTACTGGATTTGCACAGACAAAGTTCATCAAAGGAGCTCCAAGCAAACAATTGAACCCCGATATGGGGGAGAACTTGGAGGAGTTTTTAAAGACATGCACCAAACAGAAAGTGGAGCACAGTGCTAAAGCTGTATTGCACGTGCTGCAGTTTGGTGAAACCGGAACTGTATGGGTGGTGGATGGAGGTACTTTGTACTCTCTGAACATGCCGCCTTGGAAGAAAAATTCAAATCTTGTCTACCAATACTATTAAGCTCATTTTTTGTAAAATTTATTTTAATTTTTTTTTATATACACCAATATAATTTAATTTATTGCTGCTTGACTTGTCTTTACATTAACAGCCGTAACTTCAGGAAAACGCACTTCATACGGGGTATCATTATTTTCCGATACCCAAATTGATCCCGATTTAGCGCTCTCCATAACCAAAGTTTTGTCACAAAATGTCATTTACCATTAGAAAAACTCAATTTTTCGTAAATCATCTAAGAAAAAATCTTAATTTTCTCAATAAATTTTTAAGCGGCAAATGTGGAAGGTAACCAACTTTCTTCCTATCTAATACATTTTTTTGCAAAAAATATTTTAAGAACGTTTGTTACAACCAAAAGACAAAGTAGCTGTAATAACTGGTGGAACTTGAGCTCTTGGCGTGGCAATTACCAAGGAATTGTTGTGTAAAGATATTAAAAAAGTGTATATGATAGATACTTGTAAGGATTTAGAGATATTGAATACCCTTTGTGTTGAATTTGGTCCTGATAAAGTGGATTTAATTCATTGTGATGTTAACCACAGCTTCGATATGGAGGGTAAACTTAAATTTATCTAAAAATAAGACCATTAAAAGTTTTGTTCTTTAGATGCCTTTAGAAAGGTTGTAGATGAATCTGAAAAATTGGACGTTATTATTAATGCAGCAGGAATATTCAACGGTAGATTGTGGCAGGATGAAATGCAGACAAACTTGGTACCAATTTAATAATCAAAAATAAATATACCAAATACATATTTCTTTAGTTTTCAACGATTCGCAACAACTTGGTCGGGCAAAAATATATGACCAAATGCGGTTGTATTCTTAACGTTTGTGGTTTGCAAGCCATAGAACCTTTGGTGCCGTCACCAACCCTGTCAGCAGGGTACTCTGGAGTCGTTGCTGCTACAAGAAGCTTTGGACATCCAAAAAACTTCGAGAGGCACTACGTTAGAACAGTTGCGTTGTGTACTGGATTTGCACAGACAAAGTTCATCAAAGGAGCTCCAAGCAAACAATTGAACCCCGATATGGGGGAGAACTTGGAGGAGTTTTTAAAGACATGCACCAAACAGAAAGTGGAGCACAGTGCTAAAGCTGTATTGCACGTGCTGCAGTTTGGTGAAACCGGAACTGTATGGGTGGTGGATGGAGGTACTTTGTACTCTCTGAACATGCCGCCTTGGAAGAAAAATTCAAATCTTGTCTACCAATACTATTAAGCTCATTTTTTGTAAAATTTATTTTAATTTTTTTTTATATACACCAATATAATTTAATTTATTGCTGCTTGACTTGTCTTTACATTAACAGCCGTAACTTCAGGAAAACGCACTTCATACGGGGTATCATTATTTTCCGATACCCAAATTGATCCCGATTTAGCGCTCTCCATAACCAAAGTTTTGTCACAAAATGTCATTTACCATTAGAAAAACTCAATTTTTCGTAAATCATCTAAGAAAAAATCTTAATTTTCTCAATAAATTTTTAAGCGGCAAATGTGGAAGGTAACCAACTTTCTTCCTATCTAATACATTTTTTTGCAAAAAATATTTTAAGAACGTTTGTTACAACCAAAAGACAAAGTAGCTGTAATAACTGGTGGAACTTGAGCTCTTGGCGTGGCAATTACCAAGGAATTGTTGTGTAAAGATATTAAAAAAGTGTATATGATAGATACTTGTAAGGATTTCGAGATATTTAATACCCTTTGTGTTGAATTTGGTCCTGATAAAGTGGATTTAATTCATTGTGATGTTAATCATAGCTTCGATATGGAGGGTAAACTTAAATTTATCTAAAAATAAGACCATTAAAAGTTTTGTTCTTTAGATGCCTTTAGAAAGGTTGTAGATGAATCTGAAAAATTGGACGTTATTATTAATGCAGCAGGAATATTCAACGGTAGATTGTGGCAGGATGAAATGCAGACAAACTTGGTACCAATTTAATAATCAAAAATAAATATACCAAATACATATTTCTTTAGTTTTCAACGATTCGCAACAACTTGGTCGGGCAAAAATATATGACCAAATGCGGTTGTATTCTTAACGTTTGTGGTTTGCAAGCCATAGAACCTTTGGTGCCGTCACCAACCCTGTCAGCAGGGTACTCTGGAGTTATTGCTGCTACAAGAAGCTTTGGGCATCCAAAAAACTTCCAGAGGCACTACGTTAGAACAGTTGCGTTGTGTACTGGATTTGCACAGACAAAGTTCATAAAAGGAGCTCCAAGCAAACAATTGAACCCCGATATGGGGGAGAACTTGGAGGAGTTTTTAAAGACTTGCACCAAACAGAAAGTGGAGCACAGTGCTAAAGCTGTATTGCACGTGCTGCACTTTGGTGAAACCGGAACTGTATGGGTGGTGGATGGAGGTACTTTGTACTCTCTGAACATGCCGCCTTGGAAGAAAAATTCAAATCTTGTCTACCAATACTAATAAGCTCATTTTTTGTAAAATTTATTTTAATTTTTTTTATATACACAAATATAATTTAATTTATTGCTGCTTGACTTGTCTTTGCATTAACAGCCGTAACTTCAGGAAAACGCACTTCATACGGGGTATCATTATTTTCCGCTACCCAAATTGATCCCGATTTAGCAGTCTCCATAACCAAACAAAGGCCTTCAGCAACTTTTTCAGGCTTCTGAACGACGCATCCGTCGATCTCCTGCAAAAATTCAGTCGAAAAATTTGGGTTTATTGAGTTATTTGCAGCGTCTCTGAACAGTTTCGTATCGGTTGGCCCTGGACAGTATCCAACGATTTTTACTTTGGTTCGATTATATTGGTCGCTACATCCAAGAGCCCTGCTAAATCCCACTATTCCATACTGCGTCATGGTGTGCAGAGGGTAGCCCAAGGACGGAATAACGCCCATTATAGAGGCTACGTTTACCACTATACCGCCATGGCCAGGTCCAGAAGAAGACATATGCTGAAGGCCCAGTAGGGTGGTGACAACTGTTCCTATCTTGAATTGTTACAGTTATTTTTATAGAATGGTGTTAAATAAAATTGTATTCATACCATGTTGGTTTGAATTTGCTCCTCCCATTTAGAGTCGTTAAATATCCCAGCACAATTCACTACGATATCAATGCCGTTTAGATGGAGTATAGTATTTCTTAAAGCAGCTAAAAACCATTAATCGAGTCAATAATTTATAAATAAAAAGATCAAAACTAACCATCGACATTTTTTGAATCAGTAATTTCAGTTTCATAGAATATTGCTTTGCTGTTTCCAAACTTTTGGACTAATTTATCAACAGCTTCTTCTCCTTTTGTTACGTCCTTGTCTAGAATTGATACGTTGTTAACCCCATTCCTCAAAAACGTGTGGGCTATTGAGTAGCCGATTTCTCCTGCCCCACCAACAATGACAGCTACTTTATCTGCTAGTTCAAACTTCTAAAAAATATTTGGTTAATAATTTCGATATTAATAATACTCGTCAATGTTTACCTCATTTGGGATATCTTCAGAGAAATATCTGAAGTTTGTTTCTTTTATTAAACTTCTGTTTGCAACTTGCAATATTGGTAATTTACACAGATTAGAAAATATTCTTCGCGAAAAAATCGACATTATTACAAATTTTCTTGTCAAACGACTCTTATTGACATGTTAGGTTAACAACTGTTGACAACGTTAACAAGTAGGTATTGGAATATTTAAACAAAGTGACTAGGTGCACGTTAGAATGCCCGCAATTTATTTTTTACGGGCACGCTAGTGACGTCATAATAATAATTCGGTTTTGTTACCCGAACATATAATATTTGTTGTCAAGCTAGATAGCTTAGATGGTAGGGCGTTTGCTCTGCATGCGAGAGGTCCCGGGTTCGATACTCAGAAGTTGTCGAAATTTTTTTACTTTTTTATTTCATAAATTTGTTGTTCCTTTGTTAAAAAGTGTTTTATTTTTATCGTAACATAAATTTGCCCATTTTAGTTGGGTTTTTTGCTCAATGGGGCGGGGGGGGCCAATGGGGCGGGGTCGGTTGGGTTGTGTTGTTGAGTTTGGGTTGGTTTGGTTTTATTACGTAACTAACGTGCCCTTAACATGTATACAGGTACAATTTATTATTATATTATTGCTGTGCCGCCAATTTTAAATTAAGCGGCACGGCAGTGATGACGTTTTTTATCTATTACGTCACTAGCGTGCCCGTAAAAAATAAATTGCGGGCACTCTAACGTGCACCTAGTCACGGCGATATTTAAAACCAAATGTAAATCACAGATTATAAAGCTGTGGGTAAAAGGCATAAGGGGATAAGTCAAAAAAAGCAATTTTTCAATAGAGCCTTTAACGTGTTCGCATTAATTCAGGAAATATATTTATGTTTAGCGGTTATACGCTTTTGTTGGCATATGACATGTGCTAACAAAAGGGTATACACGCTAACCATAAATATATTTCCTGAATTAATGCGAACACGTTTAAGGCTGTACTGAAAAATTGATAATTTTGACTTATCCCCTTATGCCTTTTGCACACAGAAAGGTAAATGCATTGATTGAAATCCGCGATGACGTTGAACAAAAAGATGTTGTTAAAAGCCAATCTTGCGGTCTTTTCAAAAACATGTCTCGTCTAGAAACAGCAATGTATACTCAATTTTGGCATGACTAGATTCTAGGGGTCTTAGCCGAACATTCATAAATCGAACCTGCACACTTTTATAATCTTGTTCATCGGACAATTTCTCGCCTGCGGTTTTAGATTTAGATTTAAAAAATACCAGAGAATTTAAAAAGAGTCATCGTAGGGCCCTGTAAATACTGGGGTTTAGAATTAAATCTTTCCAGAATGGGCCTAGATAATAGAAAAGCGCGTGTTGTGCAACCGCTTCTGAAAGACAAATTCTAAACTGATTTTTTTCTTCCTCACTGACCAACTCATCGAATCCTTAAATGAACGAATTTCAGCGTACAAAGTCGATTCAGGTTCTTGCATATAATGACTACAATGGAACCTTCTAAGTTGAAACTAAAGGCTGAGAATGTCGTCTATCTTATATTGAAGATTTATAATTCGATTAAGCTAATGAATTAATACATATTGCCAAATTTGCAAAGCAGTAAGAAAAGAAACATGGTGAATCGAATGACATTTTTCTCTGTCTGATTATTTCACGAAATAATGTAAAGTCTACTTTTTACAATGCAGGAATACCACTTGGCATGTTTTTATCAATGATGGTGACGAATAGCATTGGGGAATAGTTATTTGTTTTACAAGTGTTAAAAAGCGATGCGATGCGAGTGTTGAAGTTGCTCACGACGCCGTCAGGCCGAGTGTGCATTAACACGAGCATGAAGGATGCTTTTCTCACAAGTGATATACAATGTTTTTTCGAAGACCCTTTTATTTTTGAATATTTTCAAATAAAAAACAAAATAACCTAAAAGCGTGTTTGACAGCTGTTAAAATCACGATGCTGTCAATTTCTTTTCATACAGACCTGTCACTTTTCACCCAAAAATGCCACTTTACATTCGAGTTTTGCCTTGCCAATGAAAAGATTTATTTTCTAAGCAACGATGCCATTACGAAATGTGACTTTTAAATAGTTGGCATAGAAAAAGATATTCTTTTGAAACTGAAGATTCCTAATTAAAAACAAAACAATGTATCAAGAACGCTTGTTGAATCTACTGCTTCTCAGTTTAAAAAGCGCAAACTTCGCGATATAATTTTTGATGGTATTGTCATCTCTTTTGCAAATAATTTTTTGGAGAAATGTGATAAAGAAGAAACTAAGGATTACGATACTCAACGAGAAATATATCAGGAATTTTCTAAGCAACGATGCCATTACGAAATGTGACTTTTAAATAGTTGGCATAGAAAAAGATATTCTTTTGAAACTGAAGATTCCTAATTAAAAACAAAACAATGTATCAAGAACGCTTGTTGAATCTACTGCAGTTTAAAAAGCGCAAACTTCGCGATATAATTTTTGATGGTATTGTCATCACTTTTGCAAATAATTTTTTGGAGAAATGTGATAAAGAAGAAACTAAGGATTACGATACTCAACGAGAAGTATATCAGGAATTTGTGAAAAAAGAAAAAATTAAAAAGTGGATTAGTCGCAAGCAATTTTTGGAAAAACATCTTCATGTTAATGTTGTAAAAAGCGAATAGGGTGAACATTATGAAACATGTCCTTGGTCAAACTCAAATGAAGGTCCTGATACATGTCTAAGACATAATCTTGCTTAGATGTTATATATATTAGGGTGGCCCAAAAAAAAAGAATAATTTTTTTCTTCTCGTCTCTTGTGAAAATATGTTGGTTTGTCATGTTTTAAGAGCCCTGTCAAAAGATCAGCACCATTAAAAATTTTTTAGGGGTCGCTCAAGATTTTTAAAAATTACCAAAATCGTCAAAAATTGTTTTTTTTTATTTTAATTTTTTTTCTCGTTCCGATATTATTTTTTAATTAAAAAATAATAATGATTCTGAAAATTTCAAATCGATATTTTAATTTCTACAGGTCGCTCAAGATTTTTTTAAGTTTCAAAGTGGAGTATTTTGAATGTTTTCGAGCGACCTCTGAATATAAATATCATCGAACTTTTAGCGACCTTTAGAAATCAAAATATTGATTTGAAATTTACAGAATTTTTATTATTTTCAACCTAAAAAATAATATCGAGACGAGAAAAAGAATTAAAATAAAACAAAAATTCAATTTTTGACGATTTTGAAAATTTTTAAAAATCTTGAGCGACCCCTACAAAATTTTTAATAGAGCTGATATTTTGACAGGGCTCTTAAAACATGACAAACCAACATATTTTCACAAGAGACGAGAAGAAAAAAAATATTCTTTTTTTTTGGGCCACCCTAATATATATATATTCTATAACAAACTATTTTTGAGGTTCAGTATTCAAGATGCGTTGTGTTCAGCAGCCTGAAAAGCTGCCTATTACGAATTTAGATTTATTAGCTGAAACCACCTGTTCTGAGGATAGTAAACATGGTAATTTACTACCAAATTCCTTTAGAAAGAATCAGTACTCACATGAGCTATTTCTGCATCTATATTTTTAAATTTTCAAATACGGGTGAAGGGTTCAGCTTGTTTTTGGTGAATTCCTTTAGCCCTATATACATATACCAGACCAAATTTCCCAGTGTTCAGCTCTTGTATGTTTTCCCCCACCACCTCCGTCATTCTTTTTGGCAGGAACACCACAAACTCTTCAAACTCCACTAAAGGAATTTCGCCATACTTCCCGTTTACTATTTTAATAGCTTTTATGGGGTATAGGTACCCCACATCAAGCTCTTCAGCTTTTTTAATTATTTTTTCTTTAACTGATGCTACTTTATTGATTTTCTTTAAAAAAGATATGCTAAAATTAAAAAATAAAACTAATAAAATTGAATAAAATAAACTATTAACTTTAATAAACTAACCTTAATTAGCTATATGAGCACAAAAAAAATAATTTGTTAGAAATAGATGTCTTTCAATCTGTTGAACTGGTAACGCTAATAGTTGCAAATGCACAGCGTTTTATAGCAATTCCGTAGGTAAGTCATATCGAATGTTCTTTAGCAAGGTGAAATGATAAGAACTCAACTTGTAACGACTTGTTATCAACTCCGGAAAACAACATTCAGTGTCAATTTGCATTAAAATAAAACCTTGCGTAATTTTCGTTAATTAAAAATAGAATGTTTATTTATCGCAATGTTTATGCAGCGCATACCAACGTGGTATGCTAGATAAAAATTGCTGTTAAGTTTAATAATGCATGCAAAATGCATCAGTTTGTTTTTAAAATGTCAGAGTTGTCTAAAATTATTAACCGCTATAACCCCCCAGCGGACCTGGAGAGGTTTTTCCTTGAAAAGTAAGTTTATTTTGCATATTTTTATATATATTTTATTTACCTTTATGTTTTTAGAAATATAACCCCGCCGCCTGCCCTCATCCCCTTAAATCAGTAAGTTATATTTAATGTTTAATACTCATTTTTTAATTTTATATTTTTTCTACAGAGCAACTAATTGGGCTTATAGAAGGGAATGTGAGAACTGTAGTAATCCGTTTTGTTATTGTTTTGTAGGTACATCGAAAGAAATAAGGTAATTTTATTTATTATGTTGTGTAAAATTAATTAATAATATTTTTTCTTTGTAGTGAGAGCATAGGTGAGGAGGCTATGGAGCAATACAAGGTTGAATTTCCGTGTGATGATGATGAGGTTATTGATCTTACCACCCCCCCAGACAGCGATAGGTGTAAAGTAAGTAGTTTATTATTTATACTAATTTTAATTTTTCTAATATTATTTTTTTGTTTAGCGATTTCAGATTTGTGTTGGAGCCTGACGAAGGCGTGTTAAATCTTTTTGAACAGCAGCAGCAGCAGCCTCCACCATCGTGGGTCCTTAAAAATTTCCAACCACCCACATCATCTGGGCGGTTTGTTTACAAGGACCCCTCAAGTTACGATTTATTTGTAATAAAACAATAAATATTGTTAAATTTAAAAAAATTTAATACCCCCCTTTATGATATATACTAATTACAAAGTGTGAATATGGTTAGTTGCCATAGTTACTTTCATTAAATAACATCATGAGTTTTTCAGTTGTTAATTTTTTATTATTATCAACATTTATCAATAATACACTATACGTAAATTATCCCGCAAATACAAACCTTTGTTATGTGAGTGTTAATTTTGATGGTAATACAACAATTCCAGAATGGTCTCAGAAATGGTTGAAAATGGATAGAAGCATAGTAAAAAATCTATGCAAAACACAAGTTAATACCTCATCACACCATGTATTACATTTTAAATTAAAATATCTTTTATCTAAGGATGGTGGGAGGACTACCTTTTCCAGTTGATATTCAGAAAGTAGCAATTGATATTCAGAAAGCAGCAATTGATTTTCAGATATTTCAAATGAAATTCAGAAAATAGCAAATGTAATGATAATATTTTAAATGATATTCAGAAAGTAGCTGATGTAATTCAGATATTGCAAATGATATTCAGACAGTAGCAATTGATATTTAGAAATTGCAAATAGTATTCAGACAGTAACAATTGTAATTCAGAATATGTCAATTGAAATTCAGAAATTAACAAATGATAACATTTTCATACTTCATTTACTTATATTCTAAAATCTCAATTTAATGTATTTCTTTGTATATTGCTTTGTTTCCATGGAATTAACAATAATAAACAAATGTATCACCATTTAAGTAGGTATATTTGTCATAATTGTCGACTTATTGCAAGTAAGGACCGAATTTTGTTCATTTGTACTTTATATAAATTTCATTTACTTACATAGTTAATAACGATAACGTGTACTTTCATTCATCATCGATTTACTGTATGCAACCCACTGTTCCTGAAACAATTGCTGCGGCTAAATTACATTTGATTTAATCTGAAAAACAATTGCTACTTTCTGAATTACAATTGCAAGTTTCTGAAAATCAATTGTGTTTTCTGAATTACAATTGCTACTTTCTTAAAATCAATTGTGTTATCTGAATTACATATGCTACTCTCTTAAAATCAATTGGAATAGCTGAATTCCTACTATCTGAATATCAACTGGAATAACTGAATTACAATTCCTACTTTCTGAATATTAACTGGAAAAGGTGTAATGTGTGTGTGTGTGAAAGGGTGATAAAAATAAAAAAATCAAAAATCAATTTTTCGGTTTATTTTTTCCACCTTAGTTTACATTATATTTAAGTAAGTACAACATTTTTCTTTTTAGTTAAAGGTAAGTTGGTGAACCTAAATGGATCCTCGAAAACATTCTTTCACCGATTCTCAGATATGTTCATAGTAGTAAAAGCCTTGGTTAAATTATTCTTATCTTCATACAGTTTTATATCACTTTTTAGCGTTTTTAAATCTTATATGTATATAATGTGTATAATTAAGTAGAGGATGTTTTGACATGGTGAAATCATTTTTGAAACTTGAATAAAATTGAGTATAATTATCGTGAGCTTCAAGAAAATTATTTTTTTCAAAATCAAGGTGCATGCGCTATAAAGGATAATATTCGCCATTTAAAATAACCCGTATATCTGATGTGTTTATGTTATCAAACCTTGATGGATCTTTTGTATAATTAGATCTTCTATCCGATTGAAAGCCTACATTAACAAAACGCGGACTTTACAATGCAGTTGATGTTTTAACCGCCCATATTTCTTGAGTACCATCTTTAGTTAATTGCGGAAGTTCATGATATTCCCATTTTCGGAATGGAATTGCTATAGGTCTATCTTTATTTATTGATTCCAACAGTTGTAGCTTTAATATGTCATTGGGTATAATAACTGGTACTTTTAATGATAATTTCCAACAGTTATTTTAGCCTTTGTTGTACCAGCAGCAGTTGTAGGTAATTTTTCTTTTATATGGATGCAATCAGCGTCACTTCTAGCTCTTACAAGGCGTATAGTTTTGTTTACCAAATTGAGCTAGCTGATAATCATTAAGTATACCAAATAAATGATGTAATGTGTTATGGGATTGTGAGGGTAATTCCACCCTGCAATATCTAAATGTTTTGAATCATCACTGTTGTAAATAAGATAGCCCTTTATTGTGCTTACAATACCAGGATCGCGTATATTATTTCTTTTCCATTTAATTCATAAGAAATTTTATCAAACAAAAATGCTCCCACATTATTTACAAGTGATACATCACCATCGCCAGCAGTTGTCTCTAATTTACCATCAATTAATAAAGCAGCATCATGCATAAGCAACCATGAATCTCTTTGATGTATTGAATCATTATTATTAAAAGACTTTACATATGGATAATATATTCGGGTTTCAACTTTTTTAATTGTTTCATCAAACTGTGGTTTTCGATAAATATCGAAAGGTTGATCTAACATTATATCCTAGTGATTGTAGAAATACTCGATTTGAATTGGTTATTTGGTTTGAACTAGACAAACGTTTACGATCAACTGATTTTGAATTGTTTGTGCTAAGATTTTTATAGTTGAATGTTAACCCCATTATGATAATTTTTTTAATTCCAAACGAATAATACTTTCTTCTCCACGAAAATTAACTGGCTTAAAATCTTGATTTTAAATTACCAAAGTAATATTAGATATTTCTTGTTTATTTATAATTGGTAAATATATAAGATTTTGAATTGTTTGTGCTAAGATTTTTATAGTTGAATGTTAACCCCATTATGATAATTTTTTTAATTCCAAACGAATAATACTTTCTTCTCCACGAAAATTAACTGGCTTAAAATCTTGATTTTAAATTACCAAAGTAATATTAGATATTTCTTGTTTATTTATAATTGGTAAATATATAAGATTTTGAGGAATTTCGTTGATTGTATAGCCTGGATCAACGTCTATAGAAAATTCGTAAATAGTATATGTTGGTTGATAATTATAAAAAGCACCTGTGGATATATTACAATCAATATGAATGGTTCGAACCTTTATTATATTGACTGGGAGATCTGATTCGTGTTTTATCCCTGAGTTTAAAGTACGCTTTGAAAATCCTAATATTTTCCATATACAATCTACCTGTGAAAAATCTATTTTATATTTATCAATTTTAATTTCACACTTTAATGTATTATTGTTTGGTTTAAGTGATACATATGAATCGTACTCTTCCTTTTTAAAAGTTTTTGAAATAATTTGCTCTCTCAGATAAGTTTCTATATCTAATATTTCATAAGTACCAGTTGGTATTGTTATTTCCTTATTAGTATTTGATTCGTCAATGTAATAAAATTTATTTTCACCCTCCTCAATATTTGGAATACTATTGTATGAATAAAACCCTATCAAGGTCAATCCGTAGTCATCCAAAGGATTAAGTTGTATTGGATTTGGAAAATCGATGCTTAAAACATAATTATTACTTTTTAATGTAAATAGTAGGGACCTTATCAGTTAACGACCTCTAATAATAGACTAATTATTTTCTCTTAATCATTTATTTTTATATAGAAACTGTAAGCACAATTAATATGTTTATAGTTTTGAAAACAATCATTATTATAATTAATTACAATATTTTTCCCCAAATAATTTACAAGTTCAATGGGTGGTTTAAGACCACCAAAACTATCAAAATAAATAACTGAATTGTTTCTTTTAATATAAGCTACCCAATGCGTTCCCAAATTCTTTGAAATATCAAGGTTTAGGATGGCTGATTCATTTTTATTAGGAACATTTGGTAACGCATTTCGCATAAAAACACCTCTAAAATAGGGTATTTTAAGCTTTTGCACATATTTTACTAATTCGGAATCATAGAGAGCTCTATTGGGTAGCTTTATTGGTAGTTTTTTTGTTTTAAAAAATGTCCATATCCTCCCTTTGCATTTTTCCTTAAGTACAGTCCTGAACCTTTTTTCCTCTTTCCTCCATTGCTCTATTATGACGACCTAACTCTTCAAGTTTCTTTTTAGCATTTTTAGCGTCTATAATTGTTTTTGCGACAGCGCTGGTGCCCCAGCAAGCGATCCTATAGCCCCCAAGGCTACTAGTAATGGTAAAAGAGGTAAAAATCCACCTTGTTTATCGGATTCAAATGGAATTATTCTAGGCACTTTAAT